CTCTGTGTGGGATGGCCTCGGGTGTCCCTGGGGCTGGGCTCTGTGTGGGATGGCCTCGGGTGTCTCTGGGGCTGCGCTCTGTGTGGGATGGCTGCAGGTGTCTGGAGCCAGCCCGTGAGGCTCTCCAGCTTTCACTCGGCTATCTGGGTACTCACCTTACCTGATGACCAGCCTCATGTAACCAGAATCTGTTCCTCTGGATTCTAAGCTCAAAACTCCCAAACAATGGATGATAGACACTCCCTGAACCATCCTTGTTTCTGGTCTAATAGGACAAATAAGGTTTTTAGAGTCAGATGCACTTGAGTTTAAAGCCCCATTCAGCCACGATTCTTTCAGGTGGTAACTGGGAGAATTACCCAACTTCTCTTGCCTCAGTTAGCTCATCTGTAAATAGGGAATCTGTCTGTCTCGCTAAGGAGCCCTGGTGATGCAGTGGTAAAGCGCTCTGCTTCTAACCAAAAGGTCGGTGGTTCAAACCTACGAGCCACTCCACGGGAGAAAAGACCTGGTGATCTGCTTCTGTAAAAATTAGAGCCTGGGAAACACTATGAGGCAGTTCTGCCCTGTCCTGTAGGGTCACTATGAGTTGGAATCGACTCGGTGGCAGTGGGTTTAGTTTCTTTCAGAGTTATAACAAATTATATTTCTAGGAAAAATAAATTAAAATTCAGATATGTTCAGTATAGGAGCCTTGGTGGTGCAATAGTTAAGTGCTAGGCTGCTAATCGACAGGTTAGTGGTTCAAACCCACCCAGCAGCTCCTTGGGAGAAAAAACCTGGCGATCTGCTCCCATGAAGATTACAGCCTGGGAAGCCCTAGGGGACGGTCCTACTGTGTCCTGTGGGCCGCCATGAGTTGGGATCAACTCGACATCGCACAGCAACGACATCTGTCTCACAGGATAATGGCAAGCAGTAAACGAGTTAGTGTGTGTGAGAACATGAGACCACCTAGCACAGGGCCACCTCCCTTGCCCGCGGCTGTTCTTGACAGTGTAGAGTGAAAGTCGGCTACCACACAGGTTCATTAGCTGTCGGCACCTCTGCAGCCACCTTCTCGGCTCTTCTGTACCCCAGCTCGTGTCAGGCCCCAAAGACTATATTTCTTTTTCCCTGAGAGAAATCTCTTCACCTATTTCCCAACATCATTGTAAAATGTTAAAATGTAATTTAAACTATTAAATGTGGTACTACCCTTTGTGCAGCACTAAATGGTTATACCAGAAGAACTAGACGGTGCCTGGCTACCACTACCGACCACTCTGACCGACCACTCTGACACAATAGAAAGTCCCAGTTAGAATGGGAGAAAAAATGTCGAACAAAACTCAAATTCATAAAAAAGACCAGACTTGACTGGACTGATAGAGACTGGAGGAGCCCCCGAGACTATCACCCTAAGACAGCCTTTTAACCTGGAACTGAAACCTCTCCTGAAGGTCACCTTTCAGCCTATAAAATAAACACATCCATGAAGAATGTGCTCCTTAGAACAATCAACTATACAAGACCCAACGGGCAGCATTTGCCCAGAAGCAAAGATGAGAAGGCAGGGAGACTGGAGGGATGGAAACGGGGCAGGCAGGGAGGAAATGGGGAGAGTGCCGTCACGTTGCCAGGATAGCAACCAACGTCACGGAACAAGTCGTGTATGAATTGTTGAATGGACAACTAATTTGCTGTGTAAACTTTCACCTGAAACACAATAAAATGTTAAAAATACTAAATGGTTGAGTGCACACAGAGAATACATTTTTAGACCTTAAGTGTAAATATGCCACGTTGCTTGATTAAGAACAGGCACGAGTTCTTCGTCACGAGCATGTTCCGCCATGGTGTTGGGACGAGGAACTCATACTCTGCCTGGTTGGAAGACTGTTTGACAGTGGCTGTCAGAAATGTAAATGCACATGTCATTTGACACAACCGTTTCCCTTCTAAGAGTTTGTCCTATAAATATACTCAGAGACACATAGAAAGACCCACATAAAGGAATATTCATTGAAACACAGTTTATAATAACAAAAGGTTAGGAAAAAGAACACTACATGTCAGTCTGTAGGGGACTAGTTAAATCAGGTATGGTGCATCTATAGAGTGGGATACTATGCAGCGTGAAAAAGACTGAGGCAGATCCAAATGTGCTGTCATGGAACTTTCTCCAAGCTATGTTGTTGAGTTAAATACTCAAAGGGTAAAATGTGTGTAGCGGGCATGTTTCCATTTCAGTGTGTGTGTGTGTATGTGTGTGCATGTATATGTGTATGTATGTGTGCGCGTGTATGTGTGTACATATATATATATACACATACACAAGAATTTTCAACAAATTCCTCTGCTAGAGAGGGATTCCCTCATAGAAAAGAGAGCATATTTCAGTTTTCTAGTCTATTTGAGAACACATTATGTATAAATTAAATATGCATTGTATCGCATAATGCTGGATAATGATGTGGTAAATTGAAGGTCATGTTCCCACGTAGCGTCTTTAAGTGGAATAAGCCTGTTGTGTTATCCAGGAATGATGAGTGCCTGTGGTTTGTCTTCTTCCCGTTGTAATAGGTGGCTCTCCAGAATGCACATAATATACATCATAATTCTGACCAAATAAATGTTTATTTTCTAGATGCTTTATTTACCTATTGGAACAAGGCTTCAACATCTGAACTTAAGGATTTTTTTACAATATCTGAGTAAGTAGTTTTTGTCTTTGCCTGTTGCCTTTGGATTTGTCCTGCTGAGTAAGAGGTGTGAAGAGTCCTGCCTCGTTGAGCTAGGAATGCAGTGCATTCAGGGCCGCATCCTCACTTGCTCCTTAAGCTCATTCCTCCTCGTGCATCTGACCCTGACGCCTACTCTCAGTGGCTCACGACCCAGCGGCAGTGGCCAGCCTTAAATTGTTGCAGATACGTGGTTGTTAATAGACCAGGGGTAACTGTTTATGTGTATAAAAAAACAAAAACCCCTTGCCATCGAGTCAATTCTGACTCACAGCTACTCTATAGGACACAGTAGAACAGCCCCCAGGGTTTCCAAGGAGCAGCTTGTGGATGCGAACTGCTGACCTTTTGGTTAGCAGCCTGAGCACTTAACCACTGTGCCATAGGGCCATTTTAATAACATAAAATTTATTAACTGAATTGGGTGGATGCCGCTTTTCTAAGTTGAATCTAACTTCAACACTCAAGCAGGTATTGAAACTAAGAGAACAAAATGGCTATAATTTAAAAATATTTAATAAGAAATAAAAGTGAAATCTTACTTATCACCTGTATTATCTCATTTTATCTCTGTATTCTTAAGTTTCTGGTTTCCTTTAAGCTCTTTACTTTTAGAAACACAGGTCTGCAATCCCTTATCCGAAACCATGGGGCTGGATGATGTTCAGAATTCAGTATTCTGGTTTTTTTTCTAATTTACGTATAGAGTGTATCATATAATATCCAGCGTGCTTCCAGCAGCACGATATTATTTCTGCAGCACAAGATATGAGTGTGCATAGCTGTTGGATAAACAAGAACCATAAACGGCTGTGCGCCGGTTAGTTGGGTCATGTTTTGCCGTCAGATGTGTTTGCACAAACTTAGATGGACGCCTGTGGCTTTCCGGGCTTTGTGCATTTTGGATTGACAGGTGAGAGACTGTGGCAGTGAACCCTCCCCTGGAGGGCTTGGTGAATTTCACCGTCTGTGACCACGCCCTCTGCTGAGGGAGTTGTCCCGCGGTCCAGGGGAGATTTAGTACCAGAGGAACTTCCTAAGCATTGTTCTGTTGTCCTTGCTTTTGGGTGCCGTCAAGTTGATTCCGACTTATAGTGACCCCATGTCTCAGAGTAGAACCACCCCATTAGGGTTTTCTTGGCGTAAATCTTTAAGGGAGCAGATAGCCAGATTTTTCTCCCACTGAGCCCCAGGGTGGGTTTGAACCCCAACCTTTCGGTTAGCAGCTGAGTGCTTAACCACTGCAACACCAGGGTTCATTAAATATATGACTTCAAAAACATGTAACTTCCCATTTTTGTGTGTGTGGATATATTGAAACAACAAAACAAAAAACTAGATATTTGATGTCTGTAAGGGATCAGTCTGCATACTTGGCCAAAAGAGAGCGTTCCTTCGTGTAACTTTGAATGAAGAATAAGCAACTGAGAACAGTGTATGTGGTTTCCAGCATGATATCTAACATAAACTGCCTGGGAGTAAACGTCCAGATTCTGAGGAAATGGAAAATCCTGTTGGTCATGGGCCTTTCTTCAGTGTTCCTCGAGCACGTCACTGCCGTACTGATAGTAGCAGAATGCGGGGCCTCCCGTTAACCCTCAAGGTTCGTACTTTTCACTGAGTGTAACTAAGAGATTGGAGCCCTGGTGGTGCAGTGGTTAAGAGCTCAGCTACTAACCGAAAGGTTGGCAATTGGAATCCACCAGCCACTCCTTGGAAACCCTAGGGGGCAGTTCTACTCTGTCCTGTAGGGTCTCTACGAGTTGGAATCGACTTGACGCAACAGGATTTTTTTTGGTTTAAGTAAGAGGTGAGTGGTAGAAATAAGATTTTATTGAATTTGCTATTGTTGATAGGTCTAAATAAGACAATGTGTTGAAGGTAATTTTTTCTCACGTTTCCCCTAATAACTTTTCATCTCGCCTGCAGAGTCTGCTTGCATCAGTTCCAGTACATGGGAAAACGATACATAGCCAGGTACTGTGTGGCGTTCTGGTTTGAAGCGTTGTGTCACTTGTCTCCCCGTCCCTTCTGTGTTACTTGGATCTGAATGTGTGGGATTGTCATCTGTGGTGATTGGCAGTTGGAATTCACAGACACAGCCATGAAGACAGTTGGCAGGCGTTTGGATTACCACCATAAAAATCTGGTAGCATCTTTGGCCTGTGTTCCTACATCCCTTCTGTCTTGTTTCAGTTCATACATCTCTCTTGGAACACTTTTCTGCAGTGGCCTGTTGCCATACTTGTACGCTTCCTTCCAGATTCTTCCTCATGTCCTATTCTGTCTCCTCTTTCTCCTCTCCCCGCTTCCTCTTGTGTTTTTCTCTCTTTTCACCTTCCTCAATGATTTCTCTTCCCGTTTCATCTTCAAGAGCATTTTTAACATTCTTGTTCCCAACTACAGAGATTCTAATCTCTCATCTAACCATCTCCCCTTCTTTCTTAATGAAGGAATGTTTTCAATCCACCCCAGATTTGTTTGGACTTCCACAAAACCTTCTCTAAAATGGAGCTCTTTCTCCTCTGTTTTTTCGTAATCTATAAGAGCCCTATCTTCTTATCTAACCAAAACCCTGCTTAGTATCAGAAAGCCTCACTCCCTTCTCCAAGACCATACTCCCTGGGTTCTACATTGAGTTCAAGCAGAGTTAGAAACTCCTGGCTGATATGTGCCCAAACGACTCTTTCTTTGGAAATATTTCCTCAGAGAACATCTTGTCCATTGCCAGGTTCTTACTCCTGCCCCTCCTTGTAGCCATTCAGTATGTTGGCGTTTGTTTTTTGTTTCTGTGCTGGGAGCCGTTCACTCTGTATTATTCACCGGTGTTGTCTGAGTAGCCTGTTTTCTACTGTCTTGTTTTTAATAGTTTAATTGTAAATGAACTTATGTTTAAGAAAGTCTTTAAAATTTAATTGTAATTGAGTTTTTTTCCTCTTATCTATAATTCTGTTTTATAGCAATGAGGATAGGAAAGAGATTGTAACAGGCTCCCCTATCTGAATGTGAAGACTTGCTTTCTATGTTAGCATTCTCTTCTGGGGATACTGGAGAAATTGTCACAATTACATTTTGTGTTAAGAAATAAAAGTATGTGTTTTCTTTTAAGAAAAGCAAATTTAAAAAAACATTTTGCTTTTTCCTCTTATTAAAGTGTATTTTCAAATTTTTATTGAAATTGGAGGCACTTGAAGTTCTCTAAACTTGACTTTTTTATGATAATGGAAATTTTTATGTTTGATCTTTGAGTACCAAGTGCAGGTATATACAGGGAGTTCTTAAACCATTGCTGTCTCATGCCTTTAATTTATTCTCATTGACTTTATCCCATGGAGATGGGCGAACAGTTTATTTTATAACAGAAAAAAAAGGCGCTGTGTTGGGTGAGCTTCACACCCTTTGTGCAGTAACTGCCGCCTGCCTCACAAGATGGCGTCTGGAGAATAGCGTGCAAAATAGAATAAAATGCCTCAGAGCTTAAAATGGTGAATGCGGGAAGCTGAAGGTTTCTGTCCCAACAAAATACTTTAGAAATGGATTTTGTGAAACGATTAGCTTATTTTTTCAATGGATATAAATTTAAGGTTTTTAAGAAAACCTTCCAACTAGCTTCATTAGCACCTTCCAAACCTTCATTAGCACCCTGTATATATTTGCACATATAGGTACGCACCGTCTGACTGCCTTGGAATTAGATAATCATGGGAAGACGGGTGTGAAGATGGTGTGACTCTGTTCTCTGCACTGGGGAAAGTTATGTCCTGCTTTATAGAAAATTGCTGTGGTCTCTGCTGCATGTGGGGAAAAAAAAAATCCTGAACTTTTAATTTAAACTTTGCTGGTGTTTGCCATCCACGGTGGTCCCGGTCCTGTGTCATAAATCTTGTGCCTTTCATTGTGTCCCTTTGAAACCCTGGCAGCATGCTGTCTGAGGACCATCCACGCATGCTCTGTGTTCTCCACACAATAACACAGCAAGGGGAGTGGTTGGCTCGGGGGCGGGGACAGGTGTGATTCCAGCGCTGGTGTCGAGTTTCTTCTGCTCTGGTGATGGTGCACAGTAGGAAGTCAGCTGTTTGGTTGCTAACCCAGATCACTTTTCTGTTTCCTTCATTTGATTGCTGACAAGTTTAACAAAGGGTGTGGCTCTTCTCCTTCCTGCCTGGGTAAGAATAAAGGTGTAAAACTGCCTCATCTAACCCCTTCATTGCATGCTTGTTCTCTGTGCCTCCCGATGCATTTTTTAATTAAAAAAAAATACTTTGCTCTCTTATAACGTATAGAATCCCAAAGGTTTGCCACGTTTTGACAGTTGTCAGAACCTTAGCCTTCAGCACCACACAGGTGGTGGCTTGATTTTTTTTAAAGTAGTCTCTGTAAAGTACTTTCCCAGATGGGCAAGGTCTCTGCTTTGGCTTGGTTTTTGCTTCTTGTCTGTCAGATGTTCCGCTGTGTGCTGTACGTAAGAGCTGACGCCTGTTTCCGTCCTGCCCTCGCGGGGCCCCAGGCAAGCCGCTTGGCTGGCTGTACCCAGACCCTGCGAGGCCAGTCTCCTTTGTGCTGTGATGCCTTCACTAATGCTCCCCATCTTGCTGCAGTATAACCAGTCTAACTTTTGCTTCTATCCCATTTCACTCACGTTGCAGGAACCAGGAGGGGTTGGGACCCATAGTTCATGCTCGAAAATCTCAGACATTGCCCGTTTCCCGTAACAGAGCAGGAATGCTGCATGGCAGATTGCAGCCGCTGAGCAGCCTGGATAACGCTCTCGCTGTTAACCACAGTAAGTCTCGTGCCGTCCTAACCGCCGGCCGGTGCGCCTAGCGCTTAGTAGCCGGGAGAGCCCGGGCCACACCAGAGCACGTCACCACCTGGTTTCTCTTCCAGCACGAGGCAAGCAGGGTGCAGAGCTCACGGCACGGTTCCCTCCTTGGAGGAGAGGACCCGGCACACGGGAGTGATGGAATGTGGACCCTGGTCAACTATGGCACCAGACGTACCCGTTTACGCCCTTTGCCCCATCCCCTCTGCTTGGTATTTTTAAGACCAAGTTCGGCAGCTTGGATAGCCAAGCGTTCTCCAGTGTTTTAAATTACTCTTTGGATCCATTGTCTGTGGCCAGTACCTTCTGAATGTTTGACTTTTCAACATATCGCTATAAGTGTTGATTTTCCCCCTCCAACGCCTGGGAACATCTGGAACAGATTCCTCTCTGATGCCGTGCATGTAATTGACCACACGTCCACATTCCACCACTCCTGCTCTGAATGTGTATGCATCCTTGAATGACTGTGAAAACGTACAGCCCGTGAATCAGTTTGTGAGGGTGTGGAAAAGCGTCCAATAACAAAGTGACTTTTTCTGTTTTCAGTGTGAGAAAGATATCAAGTGTGCTTGGAATTTCTGTAGACAATGGTAAGATTTAATCAGGTTGAAGTCTGCTTATGAGGCCGCTTCACATGCCAACCGAGACCTTTTTGTTCATCTTGCCTTCCTAACTTTGGGGCTTTCTAACTTCACAATAGAGATTCTGCCAAACGTGGGAGCATATTATTAACTTACTGTTATCGCTCCCCGGGGGACATGGCATTGTGTGCTCTTCCTAGAAATTTAAGCGTGCTTCACCTTCTTAAGAGTTTCATCATCTTCAACAAAGCAGAACCCAAAAGACAGCGACCATGCAACATGTTAAAACTGATTGACCACTTATAACAAATACCGTTTCTGTTAGTGATGTCTTCCCCGAATCGTTCCATCTCCTCTCCAGGCATGACATAGCGCAAGTTACTGTTTCATCTAGAATATCTTTGTTCTCATTCCAAAAACTGTTTTTAATACATGGTTATTAATATCTTCCCATCATTTCTAATCGTTAAGAATTCCATTCACTGTGACGTTCATACCTACTTCTTAATACAGGCTAAGAGTAAAGACAATCTTCCCAACGCCTTCTGTTGATAATAATTCAAAGTGAGAAGGTTGAGGAATCAGAAGACAGCAGCTTCCCACGCTTCCACCCCCACAGAGTGAAATGTAATTGGTATAGTCTCGCTTTATAAGTTTGTGGGCTAAATGTAAGTCAGTATCATGTCAGTCTGCTGCACACTGAATTAGCGGTCTGAAAATGCTGGTCTGGGTTCTGCGCTGAGCTGGAGAAGAGACTGTAGTGACCCCGTTAGGCTGTGATGTTCGATTTCTCAGCATCATGTCTGTTAGGGCTTTTTCTCGCTCTGCAGACAGGGGTTGAAATAAAACAAGAAGTGTTGTTTTTATTTTTCGTTTTCTCTTTAGCATACAGAGGATGAATCTTTAATGATAGACAAAGCCAATAGGCAGGACCTGTTGGACTCCCTTTGTCCAGATAATTTACATTAAAAAAAAAACAAAACTAAACCAGTTGCCGTGGAGTAGATTCTGACTCCTGGTGACCCCGTGTGTGTCAGAGTAGAACTGTGCTCCATAGGGTTTTCAGTGGCTGATTTTTCAGAAGTAGATTGCCAGACGTTTCTTCCAAATAACCTAAGACTAATTCACTATCGGAGCCCTGGTGGTGCAGTGGTTAAGAGCCCAGCTGCTAACCAAAAGGTCAGCAGTTCGAATCCACCAGCCGCTCCTTGGAAATGCTATGGGGCAATTTTGCTGTGTCCTGTAGGGTTGCTGTGAGTCGGAATCAACTCAATGGCATTGGGTATAATTCACTATCAGTTAAAATAAATGCTTGAACTTTGAAGTACAGTTTTTAAAAACCGTAGGCAGACGAAGGCCCCTGCCTCCAAACGTAATCATATAAGAAACACAGAAAACATACAAAAATGAAATGAATGATCAATACGTGAACACATCACCTTAACCCACTGCGGGATGCAGCAGCTCCTCCCAGTGCCGTGGATTTGGCGTGGAGGTTTGGATTGGAGGAGAGAGACGGCTGGCTGTGTTCTGCTGCCCAGCCATATCGTCAGCATGGCTGATTTCCATTCTCTCTTCCTGCTACCACAGAGAACCCCACCGTTCCAGCCTCTCACCTCTAAATTCCTACAGTTTTGGTGTCAGTCAGTTTTCAGTGACACACCATCCCAATCCAATTTCCCCTTCTACGTTATCGGTACCAGCGGGTAGATGATTCTTCTAGCCTTCGCCTGTCTTCCTACAGTTCCTGCTCATCCCGAATGGTTCTGATGCCTCACAAGTCATCCTATCTTCCCCTAGAACTCGGTCTTCACCTACATCTCTAATTCTGCTTATGTATTTGGGTGGCTTCAGCCTTTCCCTCTATTAGCTGTTCAGCTCTAAATCGTAGTCAGACATCACAGACAGGGGAGAGTGTATACCGTATGTATACGTGTAGCTGTATGTGCGGACGTGTATAGATACGTACATGGTTTCTTTTTTGTATCTGTAGCTAGGTAGTTGAGGGGAAATTTGTAGCCGTATTTGTCCCTTCCCCCGTACCTCCAAATGCCTATTTAACAATGAATACAGTACCTTCTGTTGGGCCAACCAATATGATGTAGAGCCAATATGTGAAGGACTTGCCAGGGACACCCCAAAGTCTAAAATGAATTTATTTCAGGAAAGAGTAGAAATAGGAAGTGTTCCTGTACTACTGCATTTTTCATTTCCTCATCCTCTGTCAGAGGAAAGGCTTTGGCAGACCTCAGCGTGACCAACAGGGGGCAGCAGAGGACTGTGAGGAACTCAGTGCTGTGTAGGGCCTGTTGCTGCCTCATTACCACCAGCCCCATCTCCCATAACCTAGTAGGACGTGGGAAAAAATGTCACATACACTACACTTGTAACTCTAGCAGGGTTGGGTTCTGATAGGAAATAATGAAAATGGCCAAATAGTCCTAACTATTTCAAAAATGCTATTGAAGGACAAATGTTCATTGGGTCATTGCTCAGGCACATATGAAAAGTAAACATTTGGAACATTAAAACATGAGCCTGTTTACTGTAACTTGCGCCCGCTGTGTATCAGTGGAAGAGAACTGTGTCCAATGACGGAGTTCAGAGTGGTTTCTACCCGTAGGATATTTTATATAAACCACATTATGAGAGGGAAACTAGCCCGTGTGTTTGCAAATAAGTGATGTATTTGCAAAAAAACACTTGTATTTCTTTTGATGTTATGTGTTACTCTAGACAGATCTTACATTCATCTGCATGATGATTCATATTTCCCACTGGGGTTATGGGGAATGAAGCCAGCTAAGAGGTAGAAACACTTGAAGAAAACCTATATTTCCTGTAATTTAGCCTAAGAGGCAGTTTAAGATCACTGGATTACGTTAGAGAAAGAGATTTCAGGTCAATGTGGGAAAGCGTTTTCTGACTGAACTGTCCCCGAGAGGAATGGGCGGAGCTGTCTCCAAGGCTAGACCGTCACCTGCAGCTAAGGTGACCCCGTTAGGCTATGATGTTTGATTTCTCAGCAACAGGACGGCCCGCTGGGGACCTTGTCCGGATCACCTCAGCATCGCCAGGAGCTGGGCTAGATGGCTTGTAAGGCCCCACCTAACTCCGAAATGCTTTGATATCATGAAGTGTAAGGAAGAAAATGAATATAGGTGATAATTAAATAACTTCATTGTATATAACAAGGAGCCTTGGGGTACAGTGGTTAAGCACTAGGCCGCTAACCGAAAGGTCAGCGGTTCAAACCCACCCAGCGGCTCTGCAGAAGAAAGACCTGGCGATCTGCTCTTGTAAAGATTACAGCCTAGGAAACCCTACAGGGCAGTTCTACTCTGTCACGTGGGGTCACTATGAATCGGAATCAACCTGACAGCACCCAACTACAACATTGTATATAATATTGAATTAATATGAAAAATATAGAGAATGTATACCTTCTCTGAGTTGAAATCAATGTTTTTCAAAAAATTTTAAGCGTGTATAATATATCTTTAAAAAAAAGTAAAATGTACTTGGATGCTTTAAATATATATCCTCGAGACAGTAAATGAGATGTTTTTAAACACACGTTTCCTCGCTTCTCAGACATGGCCCCTTGGTTCTGAGGCATGGTATTTGCACCTTTGCTAGCATTTCTGAACTCAAGGTCTATCCTACAATTGGAGTGCCTGTCTGATGTAATGGTCTGTCACTCACTGGCGGGGGTGGTCTCACAATTCAAGTCTGGTACAGTGCCAAGTCAGTCATTTTTAATGTCTCTAAAGGGGACTTGTTTTAGTGGATCGTACGCTGAACCCAAGTGTCTTCACACTTCTGGGTTTATCTCCCATACTAGGTGCCATTTTTTAGACATGGCTAAACATTAGGCTGAGGTGTTCTAGAGACAGAGGAAAACATATGGCGTGATAACCATTTCCTGCGGAATAAACTCTGAAATTACAAACTCTTTTCCATAAACCATTTTGAGTATATTTGTTTTCTTCATGGTTGAATGAAAGATATGAGAGCAGATAGCAAGTCACATAATTTTTGCCTTGGAATATTATTCTGTATGCCACTGTCTACTCCGTGTCCATCTGTGAGGAAAACTAGTTAGCAATAAAAATGACATGAAGATGAATAATAGATTGTGGATGGGTTGATGTTTTACATAAATATTTACAGTCAGTAAAGCCGTACACCATGACTTAATACATCTGGGAATCAGGTCTTCTACGTTCAGGGACTTCTTGTAGCAAGAAGAGTCTGTGTTGTTCAGTATTTATATTTTCTCATAAAACTTCTTATTTTTCTGAATCATATTATGAGTCAGAGAAAAATTAAAAAAAAAGAGAGAAAACAAGAATTCTGGTTTCATAAAGGATCGAGGCAGCTATCAAAGTGGAAGTGCTGCTGTGAGTATGTACCTGACTCACCCTTCTATCCCAAGCATCCTCTGACGTTCAGAAAAGGCCCGTGGCCATGGTAGGACTCCCGTCCTCCACCACGTCACCGCTGATGCCGAGCGGCGGGGCGAAAGGGACAGTCGACAGGCGTACTTTGTGTTATTAAATCCAGCTAGTCAGGTAGCATGAATTTGTTAGCTTGAGTAACATTAATGAAGTCGAAACATAGCAGATGACCGGTGGGAAAACAGAATAGTCTTATGTTTGTTGGCTGTTTTGCCCTGAGTGTTTACAAGACTTTTGGTTTTAGAATAAACCTCTTAATCAGAGTGAGGGGAGAGTGAAGGCTGTAGATTTGATCAGTGAATCCTAAGGATGCTAGAGCCACATCCGAGAAGTTCCTGCCCCCCCGGGCTTCTGAGCAGCCAGGGTGCAGAGAATCCGTGCCCTGTGCTCCAGGCACCGCTGCCCCCTAGTGGAAATCATTGTGGTTGACACTGCACGCCTCACTTGCCCAGGTCAGAATCGGCTTTCACTGCTTTCAAAAAGTTGCTAACTCCGTTGAAGAAATTGCTCTGTGTCTTCAGACCGTCTCCTTGGACTTACGGGCTCAGTTTGATTTTCCTCTGTTGGCCTCTAGCATGGTGACCGTTGTTTACATGTTCCCTGACGCACGGCTTTGTTTCCAGGCCTTGAGGCACACTGGGAAGCATCTCTGGGCGAATTGTCCAAGCAATCTCTACGACTCCGAGCACCTCCTCATACTGCCTTTTATTTTTAAGGATTGAAAAATAATAACTGTAGCTCAGGAATCCTGTTGATTTTTTTTAGATAAACCAGTGTAAAGAAAAGCAAAGTATAAAATTTCTGGCTAAAAGGACCATTTCTTCTAGATTCCTGTATGATTCAGACAAAGGCAGACAGATTTCTATTTGAATCCAACTCTAAAGTAGAGAGATGGTGTAATCACTTATGGGTGGTGTAACAGCCTAGAGAAATTTTGTCATTACCACATTTCACACATGTATACATAGTCATATAATAAGTTCATGTGGCCCATTGATTATATGTTTTTAAAACAATACGACACCAAATTCTAATTCTTGAATTGTTTCAGGGATGGGTAGGAGCCAAAAAAAAAAAAAAAAACCAAACCCGTTGCCATCAAGTCGATTACGACTCATAGCAACCTTACAGGACAGAGTACAACTGCCCCATAGAATTTCCGAGGAGCGCTTGGTGAATTCGAACTGCTGACCTTTTGGTTAGCAGCCGCAGGACAGGACTGAGTGTATTCTGTGGGCGTTCTTCAGAATGATCACCTGCAATACTCTTAGTTAGTAGGTTATCTAGAAAGAGATAGATAGATAGAAGATGATGGGTAGGAAGGTAGGTAAATAGATAATGGAGAGATGGAGATAGTTAGATGGAGAGGCATAGACTGATAAATGTGAATGGATGTATGTGCAGAGAAGGAAGTGAAAACCCTCACCAAAGCAAGTTTCTTGGGAAAGCTTAGCCCAGACTGAGGTTGACTTGGGGTACGTGGCAGTCCTCAATAAAGGGTCCTTTTGACCTGCGTGTCATCATTTTGGTTGGTCTGATGACAGGTGTTGTGTCTGTTTTGTCCCCTCCCACCATGGTTTGTGTTCACTTTAACAATAACCATTGACCTGTTCCTTTTCCTTTCATTGTCTCTGTTATCTTGCCAAACACACCTCACTGAGCAAAGTAATGCCTTGGCTTATAAAGGCGATACCTTAATATTCAAAAAAAAAAAAAAAATCCATCTTTCTTTTCTCTGGGAGATTTCTTACCAAAAAAGCAGAAAGAAATAGAACTAGGATGATGCCGAACTGGGTTACATGTCCTCCCTAACACGCGGCATCTCTCGCAGGCTGAAGGTAAAGCGTTCCACGGACACAAAACCTCAGAACCACCTTTTTAAAAGCAAAGCATCATTGGATAAAGGCACATCATGCTGCTTCTATCATATTTTAAACAGCAGTTCTGTAGCTTTAAAAAGCTTTTTGCAGTCTTTTAAAAGTCATTCTGTAGTCGTAACATTTATTACCATCACAATGATTTCATGCTAGTTCATTTATGGTATCCTAATAACCTAGCCTGTGATACAGTGGCCTGGGTAAGGAATTTGGGGGTGTGGATTCCATTTTTAACCTGTTACTAGTCTCAAGAAAATTTCCTCAGCTCTCTGTTCTTCGTTTTCCTGATCTACATGTGAAATGTCCTCCTCTCTGGAGTATTAAGAAAATTACCTAAATAATCAGTGTTGATTTATCGCTCCTTGGAGAAAGACATTATGGGGTGTTTTATTATGTTGCCATCTCTCTTTGTAATCTAGATCAAGACTCTAACATCTTTGCATCCCTGTATGTATTTCTGCTAATGCATATCATTTTATAACTTAATATCTCTAATTTTATGTCAAACTACATTTTATATCGGTACTAAATTGATTTTGCAGCCACATAAAGAAGATAGCTAAATTTCAATGGCAGTGTCTTAAAGTCCTTTCCTTTCCTTAAACATTTCTCTCAGACATATTGGCTGTTAATGCTTTCCGTTCAAGTGGCTAGAATACTGTTAGCAGCACAGTCAACTCTTGATTTTACTGATCGTGGGGTTTTGGCTTAACACTCAAACATAGTGTTCGCTTAGTACCAGGCGCTATTCCAAGAGCTTCACAAATATTCATGACTTTAATGCTCGCCACAACCCTCTGAGGTAGACACTGTTATTTAACCCATTTTACAGGTGAGGAAACTGAAGTATAAAGAGGTCAAGTAACTTGCCCAAGGTCACACAGCTAGAAAGCGGCAGAGCTGGATTCAGCGACCAGCAGCCTGCCCCCCGGGCTCATCCTCCTGACCCCTTTGCTGTGCTGCTGACTCTGGTGACATGGGACCTTCAGAGATGTCAGCCGCCTTCCCTACTCCGCCATCCCAACCCCGAGTTGAGTTCTGCAGCTGAACTGATGGCTCCTGCCTGGGTGTGAGCCTGGTAACTGTGTGACTTTAGACAAGTTACTTAAGCTTTCTGTGCCCTCCATTTCCTTCTCTGTAAAAAAGGGCTTAATAACGTGCGTGCTTCACAGGGCTGTTGAGGGATTAAATGAGGTAATATCTGTAAAGTTCATAGAATCGTGGCTGGCACCTACCAACCAAGCCCATGGCCGCCGAGTCTGGCTGTCTCTGATTACCGAGCAGAACTGCCCCATAGCAAGCACACAGGAATATTTGCTGCTACTGTTTCCTTTCCAGACTCGAAAAGAGTTATAATTGAATGGAAACATGGCTAATAACCACACACGCGCACGCACCCAAAAAAGGGCAAATCAGGGCAACAAGGGCCCAAAGTAGGCCTTCTCAAATAATCAAAAGTGGACTGTGACTATACTGTCCCACCAGCCCTCTGTCTGTGGCTGCCTGGCAGTGACCTTGTCTTGTAATTCATGCAGGCTATGGCCACTCGGACGCGGACGTTCTTCACCAGTCCTTACTCGAAGCCAACATCGCTACTGAGGTCTGCTTGACGGCTCTGGACACGCTTTCCCTGTTCACACTGGCCTTCAAGGTTCGTATGGAACAAGCTGGGCTTACTTAACTCAGCCAGCAAGGGGTACTTACTGTGTTGGATTTTTATTTAACTCAGCCAGCAAGGGGCACTTACTGTGTTGTGTTTTTACTTCGGCAACTGTTTTTGGCCCTGTGAGGAAAGCATTAGTCCATAAACTCCTTTAATGAAACCGTTCCACAGTTATTGACTTGAATTCCCTGAAATATAACGAAGCTAAGCTGGTTTTAGTGTGTGCTGCATGCTTGGGAATGGTGGAAACATGGTCCCTAGAGGCAGCTAACTCTTGGCTAGAAGACGGTATTTATCAGAGGAAGCATTTCTTTGCTTACCCTTGAAGGTGATGAACATGAGGGCCTAATCTGGTGTTTCTGATTATAACATCTTTAAGCATATGCAAACGTTGTAGCAATTTAAATTAAATATTTAGACAGGGACATTAAGTACACATACATTCTTTTTTATTTTTATTTTTTTATTTTTTTTTCTAAATTAAAACATTTCAGGGATAGAAAATGGAGCGTTTTTTCTGCCTTGTTTTTGAGGGTTAGATGGTAATGTGCAAGTAAGTGGGGGTGGACTCTTCAGCTACTTTCTGGTTTTTAGGAATCTAACGCTTCCCAACAAAACCCAACCAATCGTCAAGTCGATTCTGACTTGTGGTAACCCTATAGGACAGAGTAGAACTGCGCCGTAGGGTTTCCAAGGAGCAGCTGGTGGATTCGAACTGCCAACCTTTTGGTTAGCAGCCAAGCTCTTAACCACTGCACCACCAGGGCTCCAACACTTCTCATTCCTGCTAAATGATTACTTACATCTCCAGGATAGAAAGGGGACATTGAATTAGTGGTCATTGAAACAGTATGTGTACTTGCAAGGGTATTTTAGAAAACTACCAGCATTCTCTGCTTTGCTCACCTCCACTCCTCATAAAGCACATTTCTTTGTTAGAGTAAAAATGGTGGTCCTGATACCATATCATGTTAGTATTACCTTCATTCTTCTCAACAGCCATGCCACTCTGTCCCTATGAAATAGTGTAACTCGGAACTCAGTTGGCAGGTGAGGAAATGAAGACCCACATAAAACGAATGTGGGGCACCTTAGTGTCTAATCACATGGAGCTTCTTCTCTCGTGGTTCTCAAAGTGTGGTCCCCAGCAGCAGCACCTGGAACGTGTTAGGAATGCCCATTCTCAGTCCCCACCCCAGACCTAAAAACTCAGAAACTTGGGGGGTGAGACCAGGATGTTCCACTAGAACAATGGTTGGAACCCCTTTCTATTTTCTTTTGGATAGTCTCAGTTAAAACATTCTTATGTAAACAGTGACGTTTTTGAATATTTGGACCTGTATCAACGATAAACATGAATGCTTAAGTTCAGACCAATAGTTGTAACATTTCTTCCACACTCTGCCTGTTCCCCGCCACGTAAATAGGAAATCCTGGGTGGCAGAGCAGGTGCTGACCCGCAGCCACAGGTTATGTGGTCTAGGAGGCACCCGGACAATGGAGACAGCTTCCTTGACAAGCACCGAGCTTCTTACTCAGTTCCTTCGAGTCCCTGCCTGAGATGGAAGGAGAGTATTTGTCAAGGGCTCCAGCTCTCCTGATGTCTCCTCACCAGATGGGCTCTGATTTCCAGGAATAAAGCTTAGGGTTTCTGAGTGAAAGCTCACTGGGACGTTTACTGGCTGAGTGTCCTTGGGGAAATTACTTCACATCTCTGGGTCTAAGATTCCTCGTTTATAAGACTGGAAAAAGTAATATTCTACCTCACAGCGCTGTTCTGAGTTTAAATGAGATGACTCTTGAAAGGGCTGCCAGGGTGCTGATGTGTGCCCAGCTCCCCACAATTAGAAGACAGCGAGTATGTCTTCCAAGTACATGGCAGTACCACGGGCTTTGAATCCCAGCTCCACCATTGGCCAGCTTTTCAGCCTTGGGCTGGGCCTGCTTGACGTCCCTAAGTCCTGATTTCCTTACCTAGAACATGTGATTATGCCCGCCATATAAGGTTGTTCTGTGAATGGATTGATATATAAAGTGTGCAAAAACACCTGCCCTGTGTCTGGCACGTAATAGGCATTCAGTTATAGACTCGATTTTAGCAATAAATACTTACCTGTGTTCGTGCCTCCCCGATCCTATGACCGAGGATCTGATCTCCTGACAACAAGGGACAATTTAGGTCTCTAGAGCTGAGTTGATCCCTGATTAAGTTACATGCCTGTGTGCAAAAGAGGAGCCCTGGTGGTGCAGTGGTTAAAGCACTTGGCTGCTAACTGAAAGGTCGGTAGTTGGACCCTCAGCCACTCCCCAGGAGAGAGATGTGGCAGTCTGCTTGCATAAAGATTACAGCCTTGGAAACCCTATAAGGCAGTTCTACTCTGTCCTGTAGGGTTGCTATGAGTCAGAATTGATTCGACGGCAAAGTTTTGGGTCCGTGTGCAAGAGTATTTGCTGTTTAATGCTCAGCACCCCTGTAAAAAATAGGAAGATGGGGAATTGTTAGGGTGTGCTCTCCATCATTAAGGGGTGCTGTGCCAAGCAGTGGGCTTACCTGGCCTGGATCCACAGTTCCTGAGGTACATGGGCTCAGCAGCCACTGGGGTCTTTCTTTGCAATTATTTACTCAACTGAGGCATCCGTTGGAGCTTATCAGAAACATTAGATTATAACATTAAGTTAGCTGACATAATTCTGTGCAGAAAAGTCATCTTCCACAGATACAGCCCTATTGTTACTGACTCTCTTAATTGACCACATCTAATAAGCTGCAAGAGCAACCCAGAAAACAATTTCTTAATAGGATACAGTACTAGAAAAGATTTAAGCCCTGAATTTTCTCTTCTGGTTATTAATTATTACATTAGCTTTCTGCTATTTATTGAGTGCTTTCTGTGCTTCAGGCAGTAATTTTCTCAAAACCCTGCTTAGTAGGTCCTATCCCCCATTTTACAGATGAGGATAATCGAGGCTGAGACAGGTTAGGAAATCTGCCCAAGATCCCTATAAAACTGACCTGTCAAAAGCCCTTGTTCTTCATTAAGCAGCTGTGTGTGTATGTGTATGTGTGAAATGTTCAGTTTAGTGAATATGAAGGAGGTTGAATGATCGATTTTTCATTAAGAAAATTATCTGGCACTTACGTATCTGCTGCCAGGTACTGTGGTGGCTGCTATCATGCATGTTATTTAATATATAAAAGGGTGTGTTTTATAAACTTACATAATTACATGAAGAAGATATAATTCTTTGGCTGTTTTACAATGTTTATTATTAACACAATCCCAAACCAGTGCTGGCCTTTAAATATTTTATACAATATTTAATGTTTGCACAAATTTAACCTGATCATGTACTTGTAGCAATTCCTTTTAGTGCCTTTTCTCAATTTGAACTGCACTGTGAGAACTAATACATAATCACTAAGGGGCAAAATGAATTAAAGGGGTGGGGGCAAGCACATGGATTGTTGGAGCTGGAGTCATTGCTAGGAAGTGTGTAATCTGGTTTGCAAAACAGTGAGCCCAGTCGCAAAGACATGTTAGGGTTAGGTCATCTTAGTAATGGGTGAACATTCCAATGGAAACAGCTGTTCTCTAAACTGAATATTTAAAGTGATTTATAAATCATAGTGTAAATAAAAATAAATGCCATATGCCTAGTTAAAGACTTAACTATCTTAAATAACCAATTCAGATATCTCATTTTGGCACCCAGGTTTTAAATTTATTTTTCCTGTGTTCTTGGATCTTGAACAAATACTGATGTGGTGCTTTGTCCCCAGAGGGACTCAGTTCCCAGGTTAGTAAGCCCCTTACGAGACTCTGTTAAAACAGTCAAACCTCACACCACACTTACCTCCTGGGGAATTGCTGGTAACCTCCTCTCCGTGTTATCACTACAAATCATGCTTTCCCTGCTACTCTAGTGCCTCATTGTTTTTTCGGATGAAATTTTCCTACCCTCAATAAGACTGTATAGAAAAGAAGAGGAAATGAGATACACCAGAGTGTCAGAAACCCTGGTGGCACAGTGGTTAAGAGCTGTGGCTGCTAACCAAAAGGTGGGCAGTTCGCATCCGCCAGCTGCTCCTTCAAGCCCTGTGGGGCAGTTCTGCTCTGTACTATAGGGTCGCTATGAGTCGGAATTGACTCGACAGCAATGGGTTGGTTGTTGGTTGGTTATAGTGTTATCTGCAGTTATTTCTGAATGGAGAGTTTAAGGGTGATTTTTGCTTTGTTCCTCTTGTAGGGCTCTCTGAATGTTCAGAGTTTTTTTATTTAGTGTGTATTATCACTGTAATGAGAGAGAGAGGGAAGAAAAATCGATTGTCAGATAAAGGAAGGCAGCAGGTGAGGTAGGGAGTGTCCAGGGTGAACGGTCCAAGTGGAAAGGGGTAGCTTTTTATAGAAGAGGGTATTTACAACTTACAGTGAACAAGTCTCAATTTCATTCTTGCAAGCAGGTTTTGAGATCAGGACCTAAGAGGACTAAATTCTGAAAATGGGAGGCAAAAGCCTGGCCAGAGAGGGTGAAAGGAGGGAAGATGGAGTGACTGAGGAGTAAGCGTGGAGACGAGGCCAGATCCGACGGCAGGGCTGGCATCTCGGCTGTTTTGCGCGAACGCTGTCTTCCGGATCGCTCCAGCAGGGTGCTGAGAAAATAAAAGCCCACTTTCCGATTCACCCAAGACTTAAAAGGTTACCGTCGAGTTTTCTGTGACTCATGGCGACCTCTGTGTGTCAGAGTTGAACTGAGTGCCATAGGGTTTTCAGTGGCTTGTAGTTTGAAAGTAAATCACCAGGCTTTTGTTTCAGGGTACCTCTGGGTGGACTCGAACCTCCGTTTGGTTAACAGCTGAGTGTGTTAACTGTTTGCACCACCTATTGTTGTTATTGTTGTTAGGTACCCATCGAGTCGATTCCGACTCATAGTGACCCTATAGGACAGAGTAGAACTGCCCCATAGGGTTTCCAAGGAGCTGCTGGTGGATTCAAACTGCTGACCTTTTGGTTAGCAGCCGAACACTTAACCACTGCACCACCAGGGCTCCCACCCAAACCTTAATGCAACCGTATTTAGGAAAGTAGACCTGAAAAGCTAAGACTTTCAATGCACCGCTCCTGGGAAGAGTAGTGTTTGCAGACAACAAAAACATATAAGCAGCTCCCAAAACACTGGAAACAACTTTATTTTTTTTTGGTTTGGTAAACAGCTGCTTATGGTTGAGCATTATATCATATTCATGTCACAAAGTCGCATTCTCTGCTCATTACATTGCTTTTCTTTCACATGATGGAATTCAGTACTCTGCACCACTGTTTGATGAGTCGGAATCGACTCGTCGGCAGTGGGTCATAAAGATCACTGAAATCCAGGTGTTCCGCCAGCTGTGAGGACGTCTCTGACTCTTCGGACTTAACAAAAAACAAAGCTCATCCCCTGAGTAAACATTTTTCTCCAACAATAAGATGAGGTAAATCTGGCTGTGAAACTATCACTCCAACCATAATCTGCTATTTAACAAAGTTATTTGGATGTAAACTTATGTTTCTTGGTTCAGGTGGCCAGATGAGAAGATTGGTTTCACATACCTTTTGACTTCTGACGTTTTCTGTCAGTCATTTTTCCCTATTTATAGTGTGGGATGCGCCCCTGTTCTCTTTCCCAGTTGCACAGTTTCATTTAAACAGGCTCGTCTGTATTTGCAGGCGTTGCTCTTCAGTGTCATACCTGTGTAGATGCGAAGGTTCCACATTGGCTTCTTGCTGTGCCATGCTCTGTAAACTGTGTGTCTTCAGCAGTTCGTGTGAAGTTTTCACTGACCAGGCGTACAAAGTGTTCAGTTAGTGTGACTGATACTACTGGAGTGAAGAAATTGACGCATGTTGGGAAGCACTTAATTGCGGTCCCCTTGCTTTTTTCTATGAAGTACAATTCATAAATTGTTCAAATACTACAAGCTGCCACTTACTAAGCCAGATCAAGTACCTGTCAGACACTTTTCTGTGCTTTATCTCTCAGTAGCTGTGCAAGGTGAGTGCCCATTTTACAGACGAGAATGCTGAGACTCGGTTTAGTAACCTGTGCAGATTCACCTGTCAGAGCCTGTTTGTTTCCCACCAACCCACCCACCTGGTTATTCGTAGATTAGCAGAGGGTCTTAGGAGCCTGAAAGACAAAAGCAGCCTCACCTTCAGAGTGTCTGTTTCATATACTTCATTTCAGTATTCTTCCCCCACCGTTAATTAGCTAGCACCTGTAATGACACGTCCTCATTGGAATTAAGGGGCTGCCACAAACACCACCTGTGTCTCAGTGGTTGGTGTACGGTAAAAAAGAAATGCAAGTTCTGTCAGCACAAAAGGACAGTGGCGCTTTAAACTGTATTACAGTTTGTGGGACATTTTACAATTAGTTCCTCCCTTAACAGAAAAAAATTAATGCCTCAGAGTACAAACTGATTGATAGATTTCTTTGTCCTGCGTAAGAGAAGTTGTGCTTTCCTAGAGGATTCATGGCAGAGTTTGTTCAAAACGTTGTCTTAGTGCAGGAAATATTTATCCTTTGAGCGTGAAGACCGTATAAAACCCATGACAAGTGTCTGGTGTGTCATACTAACTAAGCTGTTGGTGTGTTTTCAGAACCAGCTCCTGGCTGACCATGGACATAATCCTCTCATGAAAAAAGTTTTTGACGTCTACCTGTGTTTTCTTCAAAAACATCAATCTGAAACCGCTTTAAAGAATGTCTTCACTGCCTTGAGGTCGTTAATTTACAAGGTAAGTTCTTTCACGAATGATCACAACGACTGATCACGCGTACATTTTCAGTCTCTTCCCACCTGGCGTGGACGAGAACGTTCCCGAGCACGCACCCTTATTTGGTTATTTGCCTTCTCCTACTTGATCCAGTTTCCATCGACGTTTTATGAAGGGAGAGCGGACATGTGTGCTGCTCTGTGCTATGAGATCCTCAAGTGCTGCAACTCCAAGCTGAGCTCCATCAGAACCGAGGCCTCCCAGCTGCTCTACTTCCTAATGAGGAACAACTTCGACTACACGGGGAAGAAGTCCTTCGTGCGGACGCATCTGCAGGTGCGCGGGGTTGAGCTTTCGTGATGCACTCACAGGCTGGCCTGGCTTCCTAAAGAACCAGAAGGCCCTTAGGAAAAGGGCCCCAGTCACTAATAGTGACTCCTCCATGAATGTCACGTCCTTCCAGGGAGAGCCTGAACACACCAGACACTCCCAGAGCACTGGCACCTGGCAAGTAGATTTTATGACTTACAAAAGAAGCAGACAGCACATGAGAACAAAGTGTGGATTCATTTCTGAGCCAGTTCCCCCTGGGCTATCTGGGCAGGGATGATGAGTCTTCTGTGCACACCCCACTTGGTACAATAGGTGAGGAACTCAGTGGGGCCCTACCTTCATCCAATCCTCCCTGGCTAGGTGGCCTGAAAAACTCCGCTTCAAATGGAAGACAGCATCATAGCCAAGGGACCCCATAAGTTCCTCCCCCACCCATTTTTATGCCCCAAAGCCTACGTGACACGATACATGGAGTGCAGTGCAGATTTTCCCACATGTCCACCCTGGGTGGCAGGCATGGCTTGTTCTGAAGCCTGTTGCCAGGCAATGAGTTGGGGACTCCCAGCTCACTTACCGTGTTTAAGCGTTGCCTGCCTGTTTTAGAAAAACAAGAGACACCTTGATTGCTCTGGATGTCCAAGGCTGTTTCCAGAAACCAGAGACAAAAAGCCAGTTCTTGTTCTTTGTCCCACAGCTTTCCAGTACAAGTTTATCATATGTAATTCTGTTTTAGCAGGAAAATTTTGAGTATCACATTTACTAAATTATCTCATCATAAATACTACAAAATCCAGTCCCAAGATGGAAAGTCACATTTACTGATTGGGTTTATTTCATCCTTTCTGCTGTCAGATCTGGGTCCAAGATGCATTTCTACTGTAAATTGGTGTCTTCGTTTCTTAATGTTGCTACAACAGAAATGCCACGAGTGGATGACTTTAACAAACAAAACTGTATTCTCTCCCAGTCTAGGAGGCTAGAAGTCCAAATTCAGGGTGCCGGCTCCAGGGAAGGATTTCTCTCTCTGTCAGCTCTCGGGGAAGGTCCTTGTCATCAGGCTTCCCCTGGTCTGGGAGCTTCTCAGCTTTGGTACCCCAGGTCCAAAGGATGCACTCCACTCCTGACACTTGTTTCTTGGTGATATGAGGTCTCCATCTCTCTGCTCACCTCTCTCTCCTTTTTGTAAGATAAAAGGTGATGCAGGCCACACCCTAAGGAAACTCCCCTTACATCAGATCAGGGCTGTGACCTGAGAAAGGGTATTGCATCCCACCCTAATGCTCTTGAACATAACCTAATCTTGCCTCATTAGCTACAGGCAGAAATTAGGATTTACAACACGTAAGAAAATCACATCAGATCACAAAACAGAGGACAGCCACACAATACTGGGAATCATGGCCTAGCCAAGTTGGTACATATTTCTGGGGGACACAATTCAATCCATGACAGTTTCCATTTAAATACTGAACCGGTGTAGTTGGGCGGACTGAAGGTCCATCAAATCAAGAAATATTAGTGCCTGTGTGAGAATAGGAAACATCTTAGGTAAGAAAGGAAAAAGCCCAGAGCTGCTCCTTTATGTCGCCCATCTACTGACACACCTGCCATCACTCCCGAGTTGAAACATCCTAAATCCTCTGCCCCGGGAACCATGCAAGATAGTGATGGGTCTTGTGTGTTTCTGTAGACTCTCTTTCTACAAACACACAATAGGAGTCTCTTCCTCTTCTCTGTATTTAAAAAAAACCTCCTTTTTAAAAAAAACAGTATTTACTGTTTGCATACTGTGTGTTAAGATTCATGGGTACAACCACAAACAAAATTGAACCCCGCCTTGGTCCTCATGGGATGTGGAGTCTAGTGGAGGACACAGGTAAACACTGAAGCTCTCACGATGCAGTGTGACGAGTGCTGTAATAGAGGAACTTGACTCATTAGGGTCCTTGGGTGTGGCACAAGCAGTTTGCACTCAACTACTAACCTAAGGTTGGTAATTCAAACCCACCCAGTAGCACCACAGAAGAAACACCTGGCAATCTGCTTCTATAAGGATTACAGCTGAGAAAATCCTATGGAGCAGTTCTACTCTGTAACACGTGGGGTCTCCGTGAGTTGCAATCAATTCGACGGCAATGGGTCTGGGTTTTTTTGGGTTGAGAGTGTAGTAGGAGCACTGAGCAGGGGCATCTGGCGAGAGGCTGAAGTGAAGGTTGAGTAGGGTTACCAGGTGAAGGTGGCGAGCATGTTCCAGGCCGTGGGTGCACCAAGGCCCATCTGGAGAACTGGAGAAGTTCCTTATAGTGGAGTTTAGAGTATGGGGGAAGGTGAGTTGAGGAGGACAGCACTGGGTATTTGCAGGGATTTTCTGGATGCCAGTATGGAGAATGCATTAGAGGGAGTCAAGACCTTAGCTGGGGAGACCTTCTGGGGAGACTGTTGTCAGATCTAGGCCAGAAATGATGACGTCTTGCACTGGGGAGGGTGGGTTAGAAAGAAGAGGAGATTGAGTTGACAGTAGGTACTGGTTGTACCTGGGTGTGGTGAAGGAACATGAAGGAACAAGGGTGACATCTCCAGTCTTAGCCCAAACGACAGGGTAATGGTGGTGCTATTCATAGACCTGCAAAATACAGATCCTGGTGCATATCTGGAGTCCCTGGGTAGTGCAAACAGTTCATGCTCTCAGCTGTTAACTGGAAGGTTAGATGTTCGAGCCCACCTAGAAGTGCCTCGAAAGAAATGCCTGGTAATCTACTTCTGAAAAATTAATCAGTCATTGAAAAGCCTATGAAGCACAGTTCTACTGTGACACACAGGGTCACCGTGACCCGGAGTCAACTCGACGGCAAACGGTTTTTACTGGTTGTGTATTTAATGTGTATATGTGCAAATAAAAAACGCAAAGGTCAACCCACCTATTGAATACTTAATACATATAAGTTCAAACCAAAAACTCGAGGAGGTAAATAATGAGGTCTTCCTTTTCATTAGAGAAAGTAAAACCAGAAAAAAACAAATCCGTTGCCATGGATCCGACTCATAGCAACCGTATAGGACAGAGTAGAACTGCCCCATAGAGTTTCCAAGAGAAAGTAAGACATAAGTAAATACCCAAGTGATGCAGGCCTATCTAATTGTCATTCTGCATTCTCCTGATTAGCATCTTTGCTTTGCAAAGGAAACAAATATGGCAAAATCAGCTTCTGGAATAATTCCTAAAAGGTAAATAGAAAAGATGAATGACTCAGACATAGTTTGGCATGCTGGAGTAATCACTCCGCAAAACATCCCACCTTTGCCCTGTCTTCCTGCGTCTCCTATTGAAAACAAGCCTCAGAAGTCATCTGAAGGTGAATTGATTTGCTCCTGTTTGTGTATCCCTAAGGTCATTATTTCCGTCAGCCAGCTGATAGCAGATGTTGTTGGAATTGGGGGGACCAGATTCCAGCAGTCCTTGTCTATCATCAACAACTGTGCCAACAGCGACAGACTCATTAAGGTGGGTAACCCAGCCCGGTGTGTTTTTCACTCCCAAAACTCTGACTCACGTTCTGATACGTAGGCATATAGGCAGAAAGTAGATGAAAGACAAGTATCCTTTTTCCACCCTTGTTGTAGCACACCAGCTTTTCCTCAGATGTGAAGGATTTGACCAAAAGGATACGCACAGTCCTGATGGCCACCGCTCAGATGAAGGAGCATGAGAACGACCCGGAGATGCTGGTGGACCTCCAGTACAGCTTGGCCAAGTCCTACGCAAGCACCCCTGAGCTCAGGAAGACGTGGCTCGACAGCATGGCCAGAATCCATGTCAAAAACGGGGATCTCTCAGAGGTAGCCTTGTGAGCCTCTTGTTCTGGGTTTTCGAGGAAGCCAGTTGTCTTAGTCAGCTAGGGCTGCTATAACAGAAATACCACAAGTGGATGGCTTTAACAAAGAGATGTTTATTCTCTCAGTCTAGGAGGGTAGAAGTCTGAATTCAGGGGTCCAGCTCCAGGGGAAGGTCCTTGTCATCGATCTTCCCCTGCTCTAGGAGCTTCTCAGCGCAGGGACCCCAGGTCCAAAGGACTTGCTCCACTCCAGGCTCTTCTTGCTTGGTGGTAAAAAGGTCTGTCTCCTCTCTGCTTTTCTCTTTTGTAACTCAAAAGAGATGGACTCAAGATACAACTTAATCCTGTAGGTTGCATCCTGCCTCATTAACAGAACTGCCTTCATTAACTTCTTAGAAGTTAGGATTTACAACACATGGGAAAATCACATCAGATGACAAAATGGTAGACAGTCACACCATACTGGGAATCATGGCCTAGCCAAGTTGACAGACATTTTTTGGGGACACAGTTCAATCCATAACACTAGTTATATCCCACTAATTCAAAGAACCCAATCGTGAGAAAAGTTTTCCTGTTAGTTGAAAGAGGCCCATTTAGTATGTGCGATCCTTCCGTGTGAGGCTCAGGGTTACTGTATAGTTACCTAAGCACTTTAGTAAGGGTGCAGTGGTGGTTCAGTGGTAGAATTCTCGCCGTCTATGAGGGAGACCCAGGCTTGATTCCCGGCCACTACACCTCATGGGCCGCCACCACCCGTCTCACTGGAGACTCGTGCTGCTACGATGCTGAACAGCTTTCAGCAGAGCTTCCAGACTAAGATAGACTAGGAAGAAAGGCCTGGTGATCGACTTCTGAAAATCAGCCAGCGAGAACCTTATAGATCACAATGGTCTGATCCGCAGGACCAGGCCGTGTTTTGTTCCCTTGTACACGGGGTCGCCTGGAGTCAGGGGCCCACTACACAGCGGCTGACAACAGCAACGAAGCATTTCAGTAATTTAAAACAGATTGTAAGGGGATGCAAAAGGACATTGTTTGAAAGCTCTTAAAAAGTGTACAGACTCATCTAACCAAAACCATCGAGTTGATTCTGATTCATAGCAATCCTATAGGACAGAGTAGAACTGCCCCATACGGTTTCCAAGGAGCGGCTGGTGGATTCGAACTGCCAACCTTTTGGTCACCAGTTGTAGCACTTACCCACTGCACCACCAGGGCTCCACACATTCATCTAGATACCTGCTGATTAAAGTACATATCAGTTTCTGCATCAAAACTCCCCTCTAGTTCTAAAATTCAGTTATTTAATGATGAAATGAATTCTTCCTGTTATTAAAGTTATGATAAGGCACCACTTTGCCCTTTATGGGGTAGTCCTTTCCACTGGTGGACGGGGTAGATACTCAAACATTCCCTCTTTCACAGAGCGGAAGTACGTTTACGTGTATGAGTAGACAGGGTGGCATCGGAATGCAGTGTGTGGATTCTGGGAGCTGACGTTGAATCCCAGACCCAGCATTTACTAACTTTGGGATAGATGGCAAGTTATCTCACGTCTCTGTGCCTCGGTGCCATCGTCTATAAAGTAGGTTCTGTGTTTCCACAGGGACTCTGTTCAGGCTTTGCTCCTAAGACATTTAAGGAATAACAATACTATTAAAGCAAGCCTGCTTTACTTTTAAACCCTCTATTTTTTTTAATTAGTAAAATGATGTTCTAAGTCTGAAAAATTTAGGTAACTCTTGTTACCTATTGATTACTCAGGGGGTCTGATGTGCTGAAAAGTACACATGACATTATAATTCTGTTTGTCCTTAAATGTAACATAGACTGTACATTAACCGTAATAAAAATGAATTACATGTTAGAAGTAGTCGTTTTTCTATCACTCTCAGAATTTAAGTTTGTTTTTTTTTTTTTTATCTCAGTGTGGCCCGAGTCTCCAAAACAAAACAAACCAAAAAAAAACTTACTGAGTTTGAGTTGTTCCTCCAAAAATAAAGGATTAAAGCAGATAAGTTACAGGGTTTCTTTTAGCTTCAGCCCTCTGTGGTCTTGTCCCCGATCAAGAACTCAAATACTGCAGTGCCTGTTCTACGCGTACAGGAGGAGCCCTGGGCAACGGGTAAGAGCCCGGCTGCTAACCAAAAGGTCGGCAGTTCGAATCTACCAGCCGCTCCTTGGAAACCCTATGGGGCAATTCTGCTCTATCCTAGAGGGTCGCTGTGAGTCGCAATTGACTTGATGGCAACAGGTTTGGTTTTACAGGTCTTGTGCATACTTACCTGACGTGGGAAGGGACGAAAATGTAAGCTGTGGGCTTGGCCTCTGAGGACTGCATGGTGTGGTGAATCCTACACTCAGACTTCTCTCCGGACAAATTAGGCACAGGTCCTAGTGTTAGGCCCCATGACTTACACGTGTTCCCACGTACATGGCATGTAGGGTGGTCTCAGCCTGTGTGCTGAGTGTTGGCTGCCTAACAGTGAGACCCCGGGCCAAGGACACCACGGGGGGTGGGAGATGGCAGAGCCTAGTGACAAGAAGCGCAACAAGCAGAGGCTCATGCGTGGGAGTCTTAACAGTGGCTTCACTCCAACAGCTATGTTTGACTTTTGTAACACTGTGGCTACTTGGTAAAAAAAATAATTTTTTAAATGTTTTCTTTTATTTTTAAGGTATCTGTAATTTTAAGATTAAGACTAAATTGAGATTTGAGATTGAATTAGGATTTTGTGATTCAGAATTCTGAAAAAGTTACAACTTCATCTTTTTTTAAGTCGAGGGAAGAAAATACACGAGCACCTGAAGACTTGAACCTCTCACAATCTAGGAATGAGCGTGCCTTTCCTTTCAAATGGTTCTTTTTTTATTTCAAGAGAAATGATGTAGAAATCTTAGATATTTTAACAAAAAAAGTTTTTATCTTTTATATTAAAATTGAGTCGAATTTCAATAGAAACGAACCTTAGAAATTTTACTGCCATTTGTCTTATTCCCCATTCGTGTTAAAATGTCAGTTTGTATGCATTCCTTCACTTTTTCACGTCACGGAAGACCACGCCCTCTTATTACGCGGTGGAAGTCATTGCAGTGATGTTTGTTCTATAATTTCTTTTTCTAAGTTGGTCCTTTTGAAATTGGCACACCTTTTTGAATTTCCTTTTTCAATCTATTAGCCATTGTTTCCAACAACTAGTAAATTTTAGTCTCCACAGACATAAAGCAATTTTCCTTTTTGGACTTACCATTCAGAGGGTAAGATGTCAGCCATTAAATTTTTAGAAACACTGATTGGTGCCTTGAAATTGAATATAAGTACATACACTCGTTAGACTGCTGTCTGCTCATGAGCATCCTGACATGCTGTTACAAATGATGATCCTCAAGCACGTGTCTTTTATTACAGGCAGCGATGTGCTATGTCCACGTGACAGCCCTGGTGGCCGAATATCTCACGCGCAAAGGTCAGAAACACTTTCCTGTGTTTTGTGAAACGAATAGAAAACTGTCCAGAGCAGCCAGGGCAGGGCAGAGGGGCCCTCTGTGAGAGCCGCTCAGAGGATCTGGAGGTGGGGGGTCACGTGTGTGTGCGAGAACTGTATTCATCATCGTATTCCCTGATGTGACGTTGCATGATGTAGCGTGACGTTGCGTGACGTTGGAGGCACAGGAGGAGTGCCAGAAGGAAAGATAGATGACGTGTTATCACATAACCTCTTACTGATGGCTGCATTCTGCAGAATGTAGCTAATGACCTTTGCATCTGGGTGTCCCTGGTGGGCCAGTCGAGAGCTGAAAAGACCTGATTTTTACCCAGGGTATTTCCCGCTGGAGCTGTTTATCCATCAAGAGACAGTTGTAATGGGAGATGGTCAGCCAGCCTTTCTGGAACGCAGCCCACTTGCCACTGTTGTGTGAGAAGGCGGCCTAGCAGGGGAAAGGAGAGGCAGGGGAGGCAGCATTACATATGTGTTCCCAGATGAGCAGACCAGGAATTCTCTCACGGGCTCCTTTTGACTAAACATTGGTCTCTCGTTTCCATTTAAAATCATCACAGCCTCAGACTGTGGCAGAGCTGGTAGCCTGGGCGCGTATACTGGAGAACAGCCGCATCGGCTCTGGGCCAATGAGTACTTTTAAAAAGTGAGAAATGCTATCAAATCACAAAGACCAAGACCAGGAAATGTATCTCTCTAATAAAGCAGGCTATCTGGAGTGGGATTTTAAGGATGTCTGGCCCTGGTGGCGCAGTGGTTAAGAGCTTGGCTGCTAACCAAAAGGTGAGCAGTTCGAATCCACCAGCCGCTCCTTGGCAACCCTGGGGGGCCGTTCTGCTCCGTCCTAGAGAGTCGCTGTGAGTCGGCATCGACTCCGCGGCAGCGGACTTTTTTGGTTCTGAGTTTGTCCTGTCAGAGCCCGAAAGGGAAAGACGTCAAAGGAGGGGTCTTCGCTCAGTTAATACAGCACTGTTTCCTGTTGAGCCCGGTCGTCAGGTAACACGTTTCCTCGTGTTTAGAAGCAGACACAGCGCTGCGCCGGGAACCGCCCCTCCTCCCCCACAGCCACAGCGCCTGCCAGAGGAGGAGCCAGGGAGGTGAGCCCCCAGCGCCCCACGCTCTTCACCTGCCCCTCGTGGCGCGGAGACTTTCTGTTTCAACTTGGCATGGACGGACTTCGCTTTCCTGCCCCCTCCTTTTCCCGGGCTCTCCGTTCACTGGCAGTCTGTTCATGGGGGCAATGAGCGGAGGCGCTCGGGGCAGGCACCACAGGAGCTGAGTTCTATACTTAAATGTACTTTGGTGGCTTAAAGGAGCCCTGGTGGCACAGTGGTTAAGTGCTCAACGGCTAACCAAAAGGTCAGCAGTTCGAACCCACCAGCTGTTCCGCAGGAGAGAGCCGTGGCAGTCTGCTTCGGTAAAGATTACAGCCTTGGAAACCCTATGGGGCAGTTCTGTTCTGTCCTGTTGGGTGGCTGCGAGTCAGGATCAACTCAGCAGCAATGCATTTGGGTTTTTGGTTTTGGTAGCCTAAAGCCTGGGTGGCTGGCTTTTACTACTTTATTTTTTGTAACTTCACTATATCCTCAAGCTCCTAGATTAATGCTTTTCATTGGGAAATTTTCTCTTTCCATGTGACAAAAGCTTGCCTAGCAGAGACGCTGGATAACCCGTGAATGGCTTGGTCACCCTTGACTTATATGCAGCAGAAAAGTCTCTGGCTTAAAGGTCTAACTTTCTCAAAGCTTGACTTCAAAATACTCTGTGTTCTTCTTTTTTTCCTGAAATAAGCAAGATTTCAGTTTAAGTTTGTTTTATTACAAGCAGCCATCTCAAAATAGAGTAGCAGGACATTTCTAGTCCTTCACTTGATAATTTTTGACATTGTCCACCTGACCTAAAACACTCTTTCCTAGTGACTGAAAAATGAGTAAATGCCCCAAATGGGCCATTATTGTTTAAGGAATTTGCCCTCAAACGTGTATGCTAGCTAACTCTAACCTTACACCATGCCCCTTTCCCTTAGAGAATCTCCTTAGAGAATCAGGGTGCCTAGGCCACTGAAGTATTCATGCTTCTTAACTGGGTAGAGGAAAAGGCCTCTTCTTACCCTCTACCAGTTGCCGTCCAGTCAGTTCCAACTCATGGCGGACCCCGTGTGTGTCAGAGTAGAACTGTGCTCCATAGAGTTTTCAATGGCTGATTTTTCAGAAGTAGATTGTCAGGCCTTTCCTCCGAGGCACCTCTGAGTGGTCTGGACCCTCCAGCCTTTTGATTAGCAGCCGAGCATGTTAACCATTTGCACCACTCAGGGACTCCTCTGACCCTCTAAGCAGCTGACACGGAAACCAACTGCAGCAACCACTCAGTTCACACACCTTCGTTTTACAGATGGGCTCCTAGAGGAGGAGGGAAGGGCTCACCCCGGGCCTGAGTGGGTGAGGTGAACTTAAAGGGAACAGAGCTCCTTCTGAGTCATAGATTTCTCTTTGGTTGGCTTTGGCTTCTTTATCTCTCTTATCTGTGCACAGGTCATCTCGCCAAATCCAATTATAGTTTGTTATCATTTTACTTTTAATTTGATGTCATACTTATTTCTGAGTTTATTGCTGAGATAAGTTTTAATAAAGGTGGGCAAAAAAAAAAAAAAAGATGGAGGGAGAAGAGGGTTAAATATGGGGCGGGGGGTGGGTAGGGATGAAGAAGAGCATTCACATGGGGCGGCCCACGTGAATGCTGGCCTGAGACACAACAGATTTCAAAATTGGTCATTTTGTTCAACACCGAAGCGTACAAGGCAGGAAGAACCCTCGAGGTTCACCCACTCTCGGGTTAGTAACACTGACTCTCTCCTGCTCTCTCAATTCCTAGGCATGTTTCGACAAGGATGTACAGCCTTCAGGGTAATTACCCCAAATATAGATGAGGAGGCCTCCATGATGGAAGATGTCGGAATGCAGGACGTCCATTTCAACGAGGTGAGTGCTTGAGCGTGCTGGGCTTCCTAGTCCCTGGGCATCTCAGAGCTGCTGCTTGTCTTGCCAGCCATCACACCAGGCCTTGTCTCCCTGTAGCTTCTAGCCACACACTCAGCTGTTACCAAGATAAATCTCCAAAGAAATTATAAGTTTGTTTGGTCCTCGTGTTAAAGTTAACATACATATTAACGTTAATACCTAATACCTTGTCTTCTAGATGCTATAAGTAAAATCCAAAACCAAACCACTCTGCCGTTGAGTTGATTCCAACTCATGGCAACCCCATGTGCTACAGAGTAGAACTGTGCTTCATAGGGTTTTCTTGCCTGTAATCTTTCACAGAAGCAGATCTCCAGGGCTTTCTTTCATGGTACCACTGGGTGGATTCAAACTGCCAATCTTTCAGTTAGTAGTCGAGTGCAAGCCATTTGCACACCCATTCTCCAGACAACTTAGAACAGCAAAGCCGCTTCCGTTCTCCCTGCCGGGAATTCCTCCTTTTCTCTGGAGAGAAGGGTTGAGGGGCCAGTGAGTGGGGAAGTAAGGCAGAGCACTTGAGTATTCTAATAAATGGTACAATACATTGACTATGAGGTTTCTTATTCTTTCCGGCAGTTAATTTCTCTAGTTCATGAGTTTGATAGCTGTTTGAATCTGATTTTAAACTAGTATCTCCAACTCTAGACATCTCCCCATGACAGGCGTGACTGGGCTCGTGGCCAGACTGGCCCCGGTGCAAAGCCTTAGCTCCCTCGTCCAGCTGTAAGTTTTAGCCCATGTTCTGGCACCTGTAGTACATATGACCACCCTACCCGCCCCGATAGAGACCAAACATTTTGACATTAAATAATAGTAGCAACTTCTGCACGTTTCTGGCCAAAACAGGATAACCTCGCAGCTACTTTTCCATAACTAGAGTTTTAAATAAAGCTAGGAATTTGACCAAATGCCAGTTTCCTGCTGGTATTCACTGTATTTCCTTTTCCATGAATATCTGCCGGGGAGTTGTTGAAATGTGCCTGCCCCCCTCAGCACAAGGCAGAATGGAACATGAAAGGGAAAGCTTTTTAATCCTTCTCATCTTCTAAGCAAAAATAAAGTTGTCTATTTCTTCACGTGAAAACAAACAGAAAGGAAGGAGTAAATATTTCCTGCCTCGTTTTTACTTGTTGTTATATTGACTCATATAGGACATAAGGGTGCGGTGGCAGAGAGTTCGTACTATGGCTTTTAACCATTTTCATGTCAGTAAATAGGGCCCATGCGCAAACATCTTATGCCAAAATGTGGTTTCAGGAAGTTTTTGAGGGCCTCCCTTTTCCAACTAGGAGTCCCTGGTGGCACAAACAGTTACGCGCTCGGCTACAAACCAAGAGGGTTGGCAGTTGGGACCCATCCGGAGGTGCTTCGGAAGACAGGCCTGGCGACCTGCTTCCGAAAGATCATAGCCTTGAAAACCCTATGGGGCAGATCTACTCTGCACACATGGGGTCGCCATGAGTCAGGATTGCTCAACAGCACCTAGTTTTTCTTTTCCAACTGATGATCTGTGTGAGGCTGGATTTTCTCTGTACACATCAACTAAGATAGCGTATCACGCAGATTGAATGCAGAAAAAGAGGCTAAAGCTGCATTCTGTTCAGCCAGATGCAAGAGAGACGCACAGTTGTAAAACAATGCCACTCTTTAACTTTTGTTAGAAAATAGTTATTTTTTTTAGTAAAATGTTGTTTTTATTAACAGGTAGTAGGTTTATTTTTACTTTTAATTAACAAACATTTTTACATTTTTTGGAGTTTCAATATCTAATATGGTATATATATTGAAAGATCTCACCCATATAAACTAAAGTTCTTTGGGGTCCTCAGTAATTTTTAAGGATCTGAAGGGGCCCTAAGACCAAAAAGTTTGAGAACGACCATAAATTGCCTAGCCTTAAAATGCCCTCTAAATTAAAAATCAGACATGAGAAAGGAGGAATCCAATAATACACAGAGTGCCTACCAAGTATCAGGCAAGTGCTAGCACCTCATGTTTAAAGGCTGAAATAATTGTAACCACAATAGATAAAATTTTCTAAGTGTCTTGCGGGGGGTGGGGAGAAGCATGTTGGTTCTTACGCGGTGTCTTAGTCATCTAGTGCTGCTGTAGCAGAAACACCACAAGCGGATGGCTTTAACAAAGAGAGATTTACTTCTTCTCAGTAAAGTAGGCTAAAAGTCCAAATTCAGGGCGTCAGCTCCAGGGGAAGGCTTTCTCTGTTGGCTTTCTCATCAATCTTCCCCTGGACTAGGAGCTTCTCCTCACAGGGACCCTGGGTCCTAAGGACACACTCTGCTCCTGGCACTGCTTTCTTGGTGGTATGAGGTCCTCACTCTCTGCTTGCTTCCCTTTCCTTTTATCTCTTGTAAGATAAAAGGTGGTACATTCCACACCTCGGGAGACTCCCTTTACACTGGATCAGGGATGTGACCTTAGTAAGGGTGTTACAATCCCACCCTTATCCTCTTTAACATAAAATTACAGTCCCAAAGGGGAGAACAACCACGCAATACTGGGAATCAGGGCCTAACCAAGTTGACACATATTTTGGGGGACACAAGTCAATCCATGACACATGGTGTTAAGAGTTCAACTGTAGCTCCACCTTGAAATGCCTGGACAGAGGGTAGTTTCGTGTTTTTCACTCTCTAAAGTATGAAAGCTGTTGTGAGGTAACACAGCTTTGAACTCCTCACTTCTTCCAAGGCGACTTTTCACTGCGTTTCTCCCTGAGAAGACGCACGGCTGCCCAGCTTCCTTGGGGAAACCACCCGTGGCCCCATGTACCAAGCCAGACCTCCTGAGTGTTTTATTTAGAATTAGGTAAGGTAAGAAAGACTGCCAGAAATGACTAAAGATTTTCAAGTAAACAGTTTTCCGTAATCTATCCTGTGGGGATGAGAAAATGAAGCTTGAGTTTGCTCATCTGATTAATAAGCTGAAATAATCACTCCCGCCTAATGAATTTATGACAGTGAAATCCAGTACAGAAAATATTGAGGAAATTTTTGAATGGCACCCACTCCAAGTAATAACTGACATGTGACAAGGATCCTTTTATCAGTTATTTTCAGAATATGGGTCTGCCGCCCTGTCCTTGAAGCCTAAAGTTGGTAAATCTTTAACGAGGTCCATAGTCCATGATGAGCCGTAATGATTAGGATGTGACAGTGGGCTTAGAAAGCTCCAGGAAAGCCACACACATCAAGAGGGAACTAACGGGGAGAGGAAAGAGGAGCATGTGTTCTAGAAGAAGGGAAAACAGAAATTGCCACGTACATTTTTGCTTTGCCTGCCAGGTTTTTTCAAGAAGCAGGGTGTTTCGTTACGGGAGATAACAATCTGCAGAGAAGAAGGAGCTTTAGGAAAAGCTGATGGGAATAAGAGTTAGCATATAGCTTAATTAAAATCATTGCCTTTGAATCTGGCATTATTAGACGTAATTAAATGCTGTAGGTGCTCTCCTAGAATGATTTTAGGGGATTTCTATAAAAATACACAGTTTTCCAAGCAGCAGGCCTCAGAAGAGTTTTGATTGGTAGCAATTCCATCTTTCCCAACTCTGATCTAAAGAGCAGACTCCCTCCCAGCTGCTTTTGGTTAGACAAAGAGGAACATCTGATTCCCCTTGACAATCTTGTTTCACAAGTTTGAGCCTGTGTAAATCGAATTCTGAGTCCATTCCACACAGCCCATGCAGCTTTGAGATCCCGCCCTCATTATCCGCATCTGTCAGGGTCCTGGAAGGAAACGGATGGCACACTCAAGCTAGGGTTGAAGAAAGTCTGATAAAGGAACTTCTTAAAAAGTGTGGTCAGGGTTTAGGGAAACCAAAAAGAGATGGTTTCGCAGGAGCTTCGCAACAGCTGGGTTGCTACCCCTCATCCTGAAGGGAAAAGGAGAGAAAGTAACTCTGTAGATGAGGCCACCTGACAGGGCCTGTGGGCTCTAGAAAAGGACTCAGTTGACCACATCACCCTGGCAGAGAGCAGCCAAGTGAACAACCACCCATACTTGCTCTCCTCCTGCCCTTCCATCTCCGGCCAGTGCCTTCCGCTGGGCAAAGTCAGCCAGGAGCCAGAGGATACGGGAGCCCTCCACACAGCCCAGCAGTCCATGTGTGGCAGCCTCACAGAGCCACGGGGAGCAAGGCAGAGAGGGAATCTACACAGAAAATGGAGAATGTCTTGCACACTAAACTGTTGCTGTACAAAGCATCTACTATCACTGCTGCAAAATCACCATTGAGGATATTGTCTGATACAAATGTTTACTATACAGAGTTAACGGGGAAAGTCTCTGGCTGCTGGTAGCCAAAATGGTTTCTACTCAAAGAAATAATTGGCAGTAACAAGCAAAATGTTTACATCTATGGAACATCCCGAGAGGGTGATGTCAACAGAACTTAATTCAGTGATTACTCTGTTGGTATTTCTTCCAAGCCTTGGAGATTGTCTTTAACCAGATAGAGTCTTGACTGTAAATGGTCTTGAAACCGTAAAAGTTCCATGCCATGTGTTGACTATTACAGTGATTATCCAAAATGGTAGTAGCAGTGAGCTAGTCTAATTCCTCTGCCTTTGCCTCATACCAGGACACATCACCCTGCTTCACTTTACCTCATTTTGCAAACATTTACTGAGCTAGGTGCTGAGCCAGGTGCTGGAGAGACAGTGGTGAGCAAGACGTGTCCTCTACTCTGACGAACTCTGCTGCTTCTGCTCTTGAGGACACAGTCCCTTAGAATCTGAGTTGGGAGTTGACTGAGTTCTTTGTGATCTGGAAGTTCCTATACTAACCTAAATGTGGCTTCATTCTATAAGCTGGCTGTGTGCTGTGTGCTCGCCTGGGGAGACATAAGGGAGGTGCCTGCCTGAGTTTCACCTAGTGCAGGGGTCCTCATACCTTAGCATACTTAGGAATTACCCTGGATTCCTGTTAACAAATAGAGAGTGCCATACTCTCACCCACCCACCCTCACCCCATCCCCATGCTCAGTTGGGTGGGTGTGGGGGCTCAGGAATCTGCATTTTAAGCATCCCAGGTGATTATTCAGATGCAGGGGCTCCTCAACTGTATCTTGAGAAATGATGATGCAGTGGGAACACTGAATTCTACCATGATGGTATGCTATTGCCCAAGCCAGGTCCCACATTTTAGTTATTCCCAAATGGCAGATGATAGATGCAATACCTAGCTTCCTAGGTAAGGTTGATTAGTCCATTCTAAAAATGGAGCAAATGGCATTTAAATCAAAGTTTTAAAAATACCCTGTGCAAACACAGACGCAGGCCTTCTCGTGCACACTCACACACATACCCAGCACTCGTGTGCTCCTCCGCAGACAGCTGCTCAGCGTTCGCCACCGCATTGCTGTGACACATTTAAAAATGGAAATGGCTAATTCCATTTGACTCAGGTTCCTCAATGGCTTCTGACCTTGGTGCACTGAGCTCTTTTGAAGACTAGTCTAATATCATAAAATATGTACTTTCCGGATACGTAAAGTCAATTGAGGGTTTTGTTTTTTCAAACCAGTTATTACTCACAGTTCTTTGGGTGTACTGACTGTTCAGAAACAGTGTTTACCCTCAGGCCCTCTGTACGATTACCTTTCAAGGTCGTCACTATTTGACCACCGTCTGGGTTAGTACTGGTTTTCAGGTGCAGTGATTGCTGAGAATTCAAAGTAAATAATAAGTAGAAACTAAGCAAGAGGTACATCTTCATCACACAAGTGCACGAGGACGAGACGGTCGTAGAACCTTCTGTAATTTCATCTTTGTCCATGGCTGTTGCGGTGGTGGCTACATACATCTGTCTTTAATGTTTTCACTTAATGGCCCCTCCAATAAAAGTAGGAAATGACTGGTATATCTTTTTATAAGCATTGGTACAGAGTTCATTTACACAAATGACAGTTTTATGATATGTATGTTGTAAGTCTGACATAGGAGTTAAATGGTCTTGCTGTAAAGATGGTTTTTTTAAAGTCAATTAGACAATATTTTCTGGTAAGTTGATTTGTTCCTGCTTTAAAAATGTTTATTTTCTTCAGATCTATAACCACAGGCATTAGGCCTGTAATGAAACAGTAGGCCTGTAATGACTAAATCACAGGTCCTGTGTTTGGAGGATACAAACATGTTAAAAAGCAACCATAAAATTCTTAACAACATATCAGCAAATTTAATCTAGCAATATATAAAAAGAAAAATATATTATGACTGAATGGCGTTTATTCTGGGAATGCACAGTTAGTTCAACACTGGAAAACCAGTCAATGCAATTCACCATATCAGCAGAATAAGAAAAACCATATGACCATTCAGTGGATGCAAAAAAAAAAAAGCATTTGACAGAATTTACCGTCCATTCATTACGAAAAAATCTCTGCAAACTAGGAATGGAAAAGCACTTCTACAACCTGAAAAAGAGTATTTACAAAAAAGCCTGCAGCTAACCTACAGCTAGAGAGAGAGAGAACAGCTAAAAAATCTACAGCTAAAGAGAGAGAGAATACCTTAATAAGACTGAATGCTTTCACCCTAAAATCAAGGGCAAGGCAAGAAAATCTGTTTTCACCACTCCTAGTCAACATTGTTGTGGGGATTCTAGCTAGTGTCATAAGGAAAGAAAAAGAAATAAAACTGTCTGTTGACAGAAGACATAATTGTCTATGTAGAAAGTCCCAATAAATGTGCCAAAGAAGCTGCTGAAACTAGCAAGTGAGTTTAGCAGGGTCACAGGATACAAGATCAATATACAAAAATCAGTCAACCTTCTTCACATTTAAGAGATTCTTGTACCATGTTTTCACTATACTGTTAATAATTATTTTGTATCATTCCTAGGAACAAATATGTTGGATGACTTTTCAGTCTTATTCAAACAGAGCTCTTTCGTTGAAAAAAAAATAGAAATTTAAAAATAGCACTATTTATAATAGCATCAAAAAACATGAAATATTTAGGTATAAATCTGTATACATCTGTGTGCTAAAACACTGATGAAGAAATCAAAGAAGGCTTAAATAAATGGATTGGGAGACTTAATAACTGTTAATAGGTCAGTTCTCCCTAAATTGATTTATAGATGCAGAGCACTCCCGAGGAAGATTTCCCCTAGAGTTTTTGTAGCAATTGACAAACTGATCCTAAAAATTTACATGAAAAAGCAAAGGAACCAGAATAGCCAAAACGACTTTGAAAAAGTTAAGACTCCCCCACCTAATGAGTGGTTCTCTAAACTGGATGTGATTTTGCTCCCCTCCCCCGCCCGGTGGTGGGGAGGGGGCATTTGTCAATGTTTGGAAATATTTTTGATTGTCATTACATGGGGGAGGAGGAGGCTGCTCCTGGCATCAAACATGTAGAAGCCAGAGATACCGCTAAATGTTCTACAGTGCACAGTATAGCCCTACATAACAATCACCCTGCTCAAGATGTCAAGTTACCGTAGAGAAAGTGCTGTAAAGCCACCGTAGTAATCAAGACAGTGTGGTACTGTACTAACATAGACACAGAGACCAATGGAACAGAACAGAGAGACCAGAAACACACCCACACATACACTGTCAGTTCATTTTTTGACAAAGGTTCAAAGGCAATCAATGGAGAAAGGATAGTCTTTGTCAAATGGTGCTGGAACAATCAGATATCCATATGCAAAAAGAGAGAACACCTCAGCCTGTACTTCACACCAAAAATAACTCAAAATGGATCATAGGCTTAGTGTAAAACCATAAACCTTCTAGCAGAAAAATCTTTGGGTTGGATAAAGATTGCTTAGATATAATACAGAAAGCACAATCCACAAAAAATAAAAATTGATAAATTAGACTTCATCAAAATTAAAGACTTCTGGTCTTCAAAAGACACTGTTAAGAAACTCCAGAGACCATCTACAGATTGGGAGAAAATATTTGCAAAGCACATATATGATAAAGAACTTATATCTAACATATATAAAGAACTCTCCAGACCCAGTAATAAGAAAATAAACAACCCAATATAAATAGGAGCAAAAGAGTTGAACGGATACTTCACTAAAGATATACAGATGACAAATAAACACGTGAAAATTTATTCACCACTATTAGTGAAACCCCACTCAAAGGGGCTTAAACGATAAAGGTTGAATATTGAGTTCCATCAGGAAATTCCGTAAGGAGAATGGCGTCAATGGCAGTGAATCCAAAGGTTAAAAAGTTATTAATAGTGTGGTTGCTCTTTATTTGTTGTTGGAGGGTGTGGCGGTGGTGGGAGGAGGATGCCCTTTCAACTCTGTACCTTTCGCTGTCATGAGATCGGTGCCAGCCTCAGTCAGAGCTACATGCTGTCCATTACCCCCTGCTCTCTGGTACAAGCTCTATGTCCCAGCGTTCCAAGCTGAGGTCCTAAAATTCTCCCTGATTGGCCAGTGTAGGTCACATGACCGCCCATGATGAAGTAATGACTGGTCAGGAGATAGGATCGTGCTGAGTAATTTAAATCTGAGCCACATGTCTTAGCCCTTGAGCCACAGGTAGTGTTAGCTTCCTGCAAAGTTGGAGGGCTTTATGCCGGCAGGGTGGCTGCCCAGACTTCAGTGGGGGCACTTCTAGGGCAGGGGGAGAGGATGTTGGGGAGGCAGGCACAGTGCCTTCTCCATCACTAAACTGCTGTGAGTTGTTTACTTAGGGTTGGAGTCATATGCCTAGTAAGCATGTCTCAGCGTTGTCACTGTCCCTCAGAAAGGACATTTTTTTTCTAAATTACTTCTGTGAGAGAGAACTAAACATTGAGAGCCTGTGTGAAGCTATAAATGTGGGTTTTTTCCATGCAGGTCACTGTGACACCGTCATTATAATGGGGCCCTTTGTCATTTTTGCTTGTAAACATGACTGAAAAAAATGGCTCCTTAGAAAAGAACAGAATGATAAATTGTTAAAAGTGTGCAAGTTAGTGTTTTAAAATACTGTATGTATATTTTGAAATTTTCATGTAGCCTCCTTACCAGTTACACGTTCTGAAAAGAATCGACTGTCGCGTCCCCCACCCTCCTAACGCTCTTCCTCTGTGATTAGGACGTGCTGACGGAGCTTCTAGAACAGTGTGCAGATGGGCTCTGGAAGGCCGAGCGCTACGAGCTGATCGCCGACATCTACAAACTCATCATCCCAGTTTACGAGAAGCGGAGGGATTTTGAGGTACCTGAGTAATTTGGTTTTTTTCTCCCTATTTGAGAGGACGGTGGAGTGACACATATTTCCAGACCTACTTCCATGCAGAGAGAGCGAGCAGGCCACGGGTCAGTGATGAAAAGGGGGTCCCTGTCCCACCACTCTTCCCTGGAGATGATGACAAGTCTCCACCCTCAAACCCACCAGACCGTCATATACACGGCACCCCCTACACATCCCAAACAAGTGAGACCACCTTCACCCCACTTTTGACAAGTTGCCAGGAACAGAGCTTTGTAGTCACCAGGTGCTGGATCCTCAGATCTCCTCCGTGTTCCACTTGTCTGGGTGTCCCTTCCATCCTTCCTGGACTGGCCTGGGAGTCCGGTACCTCTTAGAATGTCAAATGCAGTCATAGTAACAGCTGAGTCTAAAAATGTCAGCATAGGACTTTTCCATCTCTAACTTTTCAGGCTAACTAGAAAGCAGAATTTGCTTATCATAATGTGGAAAATCTTACCTCCTAAAATCGGGGTTGACAGGTCATCATAGGCAGGCTGGACTGTTGAACAGGAAATATTGTGATTCAGAAATATCACCACGACTTGTACACCAGGGCACATCTACAGCACTCTTCACAACAGCCGGAAACCCTGGGGGCGCAGTGGTTAAGAGCTACGGCTGCTAACTGAAAGGTCGGCAGTTGGAATCCACCAGGTGCCCCTTGGAGACCCTATGGAGCAGTTCTACTCTGTCCTACAGAGTCGCTACGAGTCGGAATTGACTCGATGGCAACGGGTTCGGGTTTTTTTTTTTTTTTTCCACTGTAGCCAAAAGGGGAAGCAGCCTAGCTGTCCAGCAGCAGATGACTGGATAAATGTGTTACGTATGTTGAGTCATAAAGAGAAATGAAGTCCTGGTGCATGCTAACATGGGTGCACCTTGACGACACGATGCTGAGTGCAGTCAGTCACAAAGGGACAAGTACCGTGTGATCCCACTTGTGTGAAATACCTAGAACAGGCAAGTGTGGAGAGACCAAGTTCATTAGTGGTGACCAGGGGCAGGTGGGTGGGCGTGAGGGGGAAGAGGGAGCTCACCGCTTAGGGCTCACTGCTTAGCTCACTGCTTTGGTTAAGGGTGATGGAAAATTCTGGAAACAGATAGTGGTGATGGCTGAACAGCATGATGAACATAATGTCAGTGAATTGTACATGTGAAAAAATGTTGAAATGGCTAATGTTTTGTTGCATATATACCACAATTTTTAAAAAATCACTCCAAGTTACACAGTCAAAGATATATTCTTGATGTTTTACTCGAGTTTAAGGAATTTTTGGAAACCCTGGTGGTGTGGTGGTTAAGTGCTAGACGGCTAACCAAAAGGTTGGCAGTTCGAATCCACCAGGCACTCCTTGGAAACGCTATGGGGCAGTTCTGCTGTGTCCTGTAGGGTCATTATGAGTCGGAATCGACTCCACAGCAGCGGGTTTGTTTTTTTAAGGAATTTTTACCTGCCTTATCACATTTGATGGTTATTTTAAAATTGATTGTATTTTTTGCAAGTGGGAAGACATGGGTGTTGTTCTCATTTCCAGAGGCTGGCCCATCTGTATGACACGCTGCACCGGGCCTACAGCAAAGTGACCGAGGTCATGCACTCAGGCCGCAGGCTGCTGGGTACCTACTTCCGGGTGGCCTTCTTCGGACAGGTGAGCCGCACCTCCCCTTCCTCTAGGCCGTCATGCCTCTTTTATTTTTTTTAACTCTATGAAGTTATTTTGTAAATTTTTTGTTTTAACTTCTATAAATGCTAATTTGATGAATTTGTCATATTTAGTATGATTCTTATCTTCCTCAGTAAACTTTCTGCTTTTTTTTTTTTTCCTTTTTCTTTCTTCCTGTCTTTTCTTTGTTACTCTCTTAAGGCAGCGGTAAGTCCTCCCTCCGTGAGACAGTCTTAGCGGCATCTTTGATGCTTCAGTGTGGTTTGCAAGGTTCCTTTCAAGCTTGTATGTATATCTGTCCAGTCATTACGAACTCAAAAGAAAAAAAATTAACATTTTATTCCATTTACAGAAATAAATCACCTGTCTCCTTATACATCTGTACTGCATGTTTTAAACCAAACTTAAGACTTCCTGGTTTCCTTTGTGCCTGTACATCTTTATCTTTGTTAATATAATATCTCCACAAGTACGTTTACCATTGTAATAGTTCAGAAACCCTATTTGGAGGGGTTCATTTAAATTTAACTTAAATTTTAACCTTCAAATCGCTAACATTAATAAATGGTATAAATTAAAATCCATTTATTTAGGGTGTGTGGTTTCTATGAGCACTGTGTAATTTCAGTTTATTCTGTTATTGTCTTTTATAACTTTATAGCAATACCAGTTTACAGACAGTGAAACAGACGTGGAGGTAATTACAGTAAATGCTTTAAAAGCAAGTAATGTAGTGAAATGACTGCATCGAAACTCCTAGTTTGATGTGGGTGTTTTTTGTTTCGTGTTAGCTTGCTTTTTTTTTTTTTTTTTTTTTAATACACTCTGGGTTTTTTTGCACCATTTTCTTTCTTTTCTTTTAGATGAGAAATTTTTTTTTAATTTATTTCAGATATTAACCCTGGTCTGGATTTTTTTATTTTCAACCTTTTTCACTTCCCAGGCAATTCTAAGCCTTGTTGTATTCAAACAAGATTGGAGCTAAAACGGATGGTGGCTGGTGATAATGACAATATTTTCTGATATTGTACTATGGGGCCTTTAATGCTTTTCTTATCAGTAAAGCAAAATAGAAGTTCCCAGACTTCACATAACTTCTGCTGACGGTTCTCCAGGCCCCAGCGCTTCAGCTTGTGCCATAAAAATCCTGTGTAAATGGGCCGGGTCCAGAAGAAGGGTTTCTGAGACCCGCCTCCAGCAGGCTGTTGGATCTTTTTGTCGTTGTTGGGTTCTGCTTCTTGGGAATGTGAAACAGGCTGAATCCTTTCACTAGACTTGACTGAGAGAACACAGCCTTGAATCCGAAATCTTTTATTTCACTCAACACTTAATGACAACGTCATTGAATAAACTTGACGTTTTATGTTCTTAATTTTTGCACCCAGACTTCACATTATTATCATTTTCCTTCCCATCAGGAAAGCCTGTTGACATGGGATTTTATTTTAGAATCATTCTTTTTTGTTTGTGTGTCTTATAACAAAAGAACTCTTCCTGGGTGGTAAGCTTCGGGCTTGTGTTTGAGGCCAGCTGTGATGGTGCTTTATGTCGCAGGGATTCTTTGAAGATGAGGATGGAAAGGAGTACATCTACAAGGAACCCAAACTCACGCCTCTGTCAGAAATTTCTCAGAGACTCCTTAAACTCTACTCTGATAAATTTGGTTCTGAAAATGTGAAAATGATACAGGATTCTGGCAAGGTATGACCATCTTCAGATAAGTTCCCTAGCAATGTAGTTTTTTTTTTATTGATTATGTGTGATTGGTCATGTATTATCTATTCATAAGTGTGTGTAGGGAAAAAAAAAAAAAAAGAAAGACCCAGGGAAAAATCAAGTGTGGCCTTCAGTGGCAGGATTATTTTTTTCTTCTTAATACCTTTCAGTATTTTCCAGGTGTCCTTCATTAAGCAAATCTTTATAATTTTCAAGATATTGTTTTACAAAATAATTGACGTCTGAAACAGGTAGCATGTTGAGTCCAGGTATTTGGAAACGCTGTGACTGAGACGGCCTTCTCATTCCCGTGACTGACCTTTAGACAGACTTCTTCCTGACTCTAGGCCCCTGACCCCTGTCCTCCAGCCCCTACCTTACCCAGGGCCTAACTAGGGAGTCCTTGTCTCCTTTCCCTCTCCTCCGCCCTTACTGGACCCCGGTGGCCTATTCACAACAAAAGAAAGCATCCCACGCCATATGGCCCTAATTGCCCATCCTCCTGAAGAACCCCCTTAAGATCTTCCAGAACTCAGCCACTAGCCCACCCCAGCCCTTTGTTTCAGCAGAGTTGAGTTCACACCTAGCTTTGGTCTCTCCCCGAAGGCAATAGCGTTTGAATAAAGTCATCCAACATCTGTTGAATGTTGCCCATTGTAACATTGACAGTTCTCTTACTCATGCACTTGGCACTGTGCTGGCGCTCTGTATGACTGGTTGTTGGATGTATGGACAGAAGAAGAGATGCGCAGGCAGACAGACAGACCAAGGAATGAACTAGCTAGCTAGCACACTTGTGGGGATGAGATCTTCTTCGTATGTTGAGAGGTTGTCCTCTGTTACACTGTGCTAATGAAGATCTAAGCGCACATTTTTTCCTGTACATTTATTGGCCCGCTCCCCTCAGGATCTCTCTAGGAAGTTAGGCGTCCCTTAACTGCTGGGAAGTCAGGCACGGATAGAATGCCTGTTCTTTGCATTGAAAATGCTCCTGTTGCTCAGCCTTCCGCCATTAATAAGCGTCCTGCCTCTTTCCCAAGTACACAATGTTCATCATCCTTCGTAGTTCCTATGAGTCGGAGTCGACTCGATGGCAACGGGTTTGGTTTTGGTTTTTGTAGTTCCTTTTCGGAGCCCTCCTTTGGGGTTCCCAGTATCTGGAACATGTTTTCTTGGGGCTCTTCATTTTCTCCAGGGAAGAATACTTCAGCGTCCTATCCAAGTGCATAGGGAGGTAGGGAGGGGACAAAGAAGGGGGCAGGGGTCTGACTGCTGAGTTCTGGATGCAGGAGAGAAGGGGATGATGGTGCCATATCGGCCTGCGGCCTGTCACTTCATCGCCCTATGTCGGCTGCATTCCTGGCCCTGCTTTCTGCTGAGCCCGCTTAGAGCTTATCCAGACCGATTTCTCCAGAGTACAACCTCTGTTCTCTTGTGGGTGAGGGGTTGGGGGAGGAAAGCTGGGGTTTCACCACTCCAGATAGAGACTTTCAGCCACTCGTCCTGTTTGCAGCCCCACACCTCCCCACCATAACTCTTATCTTTAAAAAATAGACCACTGCTGAGAGTCCCGGATGGAGCAGGAGAAAGGTGGGGTGCAGAACTCAAATTCTGGTAAGAAGACCATATTTAATGGTCTGAGACTGGAGGAACCCCGGAAAGCACGGCCCCCAGATTCTCTGTTTAGCCTAGAACTAAAACAATTTCCGAGGCCAACTCTTCAGACAGGGATTGGACTGGACCGTGGGACATAAAGTGATACCCGTGAGGAGTGTGCCTCTTAGCCGAAGTAGATACAGGAGACCAAATGGGCAGCTTCTGTCCAGAGGTGAGATGGGAAGGCAGAGAGGGTTAGGAGCTGGTTGAATGGACTTGGGGAATCAGGGGTGGAAAGGACGAGTGTGCTGTCACGGTACGGGGAGAACAATTAGGGTCACTTAACGATATACGTATAAATTTTTGTATGGGAAAAAAACCACTGCCATCGAGTCTATTCCGACTCATAGCAACCTTTGTCTTAGGAACTGCAAATGCTGGTCCTCCCAGGCTTCTGCGGGGTGAACCAACTCACTTCCTGTTGTTGTCCGCCTGCATGGGCACATGGCTTATAACCTTCTCCACGCTGCCAAGTTAGGTAGCGTACCTCCATGTCTCTGTCTGTCTTCCAAAAATTCATTGAAATCTCTTTCACTTTGTCTCCTGTTCTCTTCTGGGTCCTTGTAGGTTAATTCTTTACTGTCAGGTTAACAGAGTTACAGAAGGGGAAGGGGACGAACATGTTTTTGTCCATCTGTAAGTGGAAGCTCAACACAACCGTATTAAGACCTGCTTACTTCTTAGACCAGAACATTCAGGTCCAGTTTGTCTTTTTAGCTCTGAAACTGAAACCTTTGTCTGGGGTCAAGCCGTGGCTTCAGCATTACAGCTGTCTCTGAGAGTTCTCATGCGTTCTGCTTCCCCTCTTAGTATGTAGGTCTTTAGACAGCAGCTAAGAGAGTGAGCCAGCCTTTCTTTCTCCCAAGTACGGGTCCTTTCTTTCTACTCAGACAGACATACCACTTTGATAATGAAGGCTAGGGAAATGCTACGGAAAAATAGGCAAGAATGCTTCATTTCACTGAGTTTAAATTGTTTTGCTAAAGAAATTCAAGTTACAATGGTTAGCTAGTTTTTTTTTTTAATAGAAATAATAACTTCAGACTTCATTTATTCTCACTGCTTTTAAATTGTTTCTGCTAAAGAAATTTAAGTTGTAATGGCTAGCTAGATGGCCTTTTTTAAATACAGAAATAATAACTTCATGACTTCATTTATTTTCCTAACATTTAAGGCACTTTCACATCTGTTTTTCATTTTTCTCCCAAAAAAAAAAGAAAAAAGCTGTTGAGAGAGCAGTGGTGCATGATACTTTGAGACCAATAAACCATCATGTTCTCATTCATTTGCCTGCCTTTATACCAGGATAGTCTTCCAAGTTCTCTGCACAGCCATTTCTTGCACGCTGCTTTTTATTGCTCTCAAAGGTTAACTTTAATTAAAATGTGTAAAATGTATTTGTCTCCCTACTAAATTAAATTAGCTTTTGTTTCTTATGAAAATACCTATGCTTAATTTTCTGTCACGAAGAAGTGTAGTTTTAAAAGCATTTCTGTGTTGAGTTAATCAGGAACTAAACTTACAGTCTCTTAGATTAATCTGTACCTGTATTAGATTAGATAATCTACAGCTGTATGAATTATAATCAGGGGACCTAGTTTTCAAACATTATTAAAAAAAAAGTTTCCTCTCTTAACAACGACATACATAAATATGCAGTTTAGATCATCAGAGACATCCAGAAACAAGAAAATTACTCTATCATCTTCTTAAAAAAAAAAATGTTATGAAAAAAAAATAGTGGGGACTACATCTAGATTAAGCAAAACTAAAGAGACATGACAACTAAATGTTTAAAGAGACATGACAACTAAATGTTAAGTGTGATCATTGATTAGATTCTGGTTCAAACATCATAAATAGCTATGAGTGGTATTTGGGGACATTTGAGAAAATGTTCATGTAGACCGAGCACTGGGTGATACTAGAGAATTGACTTTGTTAGGTAAGATTAACGATATTGCATTTACGTAGAGAATTTCCTTGGTTTTAGGAGATGCCGGCTGAAATGCCATGATGTGGACCCCTTTGAAATAGTCCAGCATTTTGTGTGTGTGTGTGTGTGTGTGTGTGTGTGTGTGTGTGTGTGTGTGTGTGTGTGTGTGTGGTGTGTGTGTGTATGCATACATGCATAAATATACACATGCATGTCGATTTGAAACAAATGTAGCAAAATATTAGCAATTGTTGAAATCTAAGTGGCAGGTGTATAAATGTTCACTCTACTATTTTTTCAAAAAACATTTATTAGGAAAAAGTAGGGAAAAAAAACACAGCTGATGCAGTTTTGAAAGGTTTCTTTAAATAGCACCCATCTTCAATGTTGCTTATTCATATGAAGGTCAACCCTAAGGATCTGGATTCCAAGTATGCGTACATCCAGGTGACCCACGTGATCCCATTCTTTGACGAGAAAGAATTGCAAGAAAGGAAAACGGACTTTGAGAGATCGCACAACATCCGGCGCTTCATGTTCGAGATGCCCTTCACTCAGACGGGGAAGAGGCAGGGGGGTGTGGCAGAGCAGTGCAAACGCCGCACCGTCCTCACAGGTACACAGTGGGGCCTCCCTCGGGAGGGGCTCGGCTGGGCCTCTTCGGTCGCGGACGGTGCTGCCTACGGCGTTCACTGTAAGGAGTGAGCAAGCTTTAGGTTTGGAAGGGGCCACAGGGCTCACTTCCCCCCCTGCCCATTTCCTTTTCACATTTAGGAGGGGCTGACTTTGTGTAATACTCTATCCTGTTGAATTTCATAGCCTGTATGTGAACGCATTTCCCCTTTTTGGAATCTGATGAAAACAGTGCACTCTCATCTCCCCAGAAAGCTTCTACACACAATTTTAAGTGACCTACAGACCCCTCTGAAATTCGTGTGGACCCCTGTATAGGGCCATGGTCCCCAGGTGAAGGGCCCTGCACACAGCCCTGTCTCATGTCCCTGCAGCCCACAGCTCTACATGGGCCTGTCCGCTGACTTCAGGCTGAGGGAGTGAGCGAGTGAGTGAATGGCACAGGACGCTGGATCCCTCCCGCCTCACTGCTGATGGAGGTTGGCCGGCCTCAGCCTGAATGCCCCCAGTGCCAGGGAGCACGCTGCGTTCAGGGCTTTCACTGGCCCCTTTGTCACTGTTTGTTTAGTGATGGATAATTTAGTCTCAGAAGTGTGTTTTTTCATCATTTTCCAGTTCCTGACAAGGGTAGAACCCTCTGGGAGTGGTTTTTACCATCTTGAAGCAGCCTGACCCATCCACACTTAGGTCAAGTCAGCAGTGTAGCTGGGGTAAGCTAAAATGAAACACTTTCTGGACATGACGGAGTAGGTGGAGAACCTGCCTGGAGTGCTGAGTGTGTCAGTACCCCCCCCCCCCCATTTAGGCACGTTTCCAGCCAGAGTGGCCTTAGCTAAGCTGAACAGGACGCTCCCACTGCTGCTCTGGAAGTCTGTGCTGGGGAGATTCCACGTGGGCACAGAAAGCGAAAGGAGGGCTGTCAGGACGCTGGATTTCAGGGGAGGCTTAGCTCGCACCACTGATTCACTTTAAACTACACCTCAATAAAGCTGTTAGCAAAAAACCCCACATATGTCTAGTATATGGAGCGCTGGTGGCGCGGTAGTTAAGAGCTACAGCCTGCTCCGGCTGCTGACCAAAAGGTCGGCGGTTCTACTCTGTCCTGTAGAGTCGCCATGAGTCGGAATCGACTCGACAGCAATGGGTTTGGTTTCGGTTAGAAGGGAACTGAGATAAAAATTAGGGGGAAAAAAATTCTACTTTCTTAGTCCCTCCCCCTGCTTTTAGAATAATAACATTTGTAAAGCACCAACAGTACCATTCTCACGGTAGCCCCTTCCCCATGTAGAAATGACTTTTTCTAATGCACACCTCAGTAGAGTAGCAAATTCTTAATAGTTCAGATTTAATAATAAGATGCATTTCTAGGTGGAATCATTTTGTGGACGTTACCAGGTTAGTGCTTATCTCCACAGCTGGGATGACCTTACTTTTGATCCCTCTGTCAGTAATGATCGGTGGGCTGTGTCGGGACCGCCAGCATCACCTGGGAACTTGTTGGAAATGAAAATTCTCAGGCCTCACCCCTGACCTACTGAATCACCAGCTGCGGGGGGGCGGCGTGGCCATGTGTATTAACTAGCCTTCCCGGCGATTCCGGTTCACACTCAAGTTTGAGAACTACTGCTAAAAATAAACCTCGTTCACTGAGGAGTCAAGGTCTGGATTTGTTGTTTTTGTATTATGGTAACGCACTGATTCATACACAGTTACCCTAGGGTGTTTCCCCTGGGCACTTTCCACAAGGGCTGTAGTTCACCATGTTGGTGCAGGTATGTTAGATTAGATAAAGGACGTGAACAGAACTGTGTGTGCCAGAACCGAAGGGTTCAAAGACTCAGAGTCCACCAGGGAGAGGCACGGTAAGCCCACATGCTGTTGACTTACTTAGGGAAACAGCCACGGGGCCAAGAACCCGCAGTGTGGGGCAGGGAAGAGCCTGGGCTGGGGAGCCTCACAGACCCAGGTTCAGATCCTCTCTGTGTGGCCTTGGGCTGGTCACTTAACCTCACTGTGCCTCAGTTTCCTCATCTCTGTAAAATGAGAGTTATAATACCCATCTGCCTGCACTGTATAATGTGTAAACCGTAACCAGGAAAGAAAAGGATGGCTTCATTTTGCTAGGAGTTGTGGTTCAGTGGTAGAATTCTCACCTTTTGTGCAGGAGACCCTGGTTTGCCTCCCACGCAGGCACAGCCACCACTCATCTGACAGTGGAGACTTGCTTGTTGCTGTGATGCTGAATAGACTTCAGGGGAGCGTCCAGATTGTCTTAGCCGAGAAGCAAGCAAGCCCGGTAGTCTACTTCTGAAAAGTCAGCCAATGAAAACCCTTAGCCCACAACAACCCAGTCCCCTTGTTTATGGGGCCACCAGCTCGACAGCAGCTACAACAAACAGTATCCATCATGAGCTCCTCGCCCTTCAAGGCTGACATGAGCAAAGGGGGTTGGTTATGGAAGACCAGAACACAGACGAGATGCAGTCTTTGCCCTGAAAGATCTTAGCATTACTGAAAGGTTTTTACTGTGCAGTATAAAAATGCTACTAATAAGAAAGCCTGTCAACTCTCCGTCAACCTTTAGTTAAAGATAAACAGACGGGGGCATTCTGAAGACTTTGAACTTGAGAGTTCCCCTTAAGTTATTAATCCCTCCGGTTCTTCTTCCATTGCATCAGATCTGACCTTTGGCCTTCCAAGCTGTAGGAGAGCCCTCTCTGGCCTGCCCAGCCAAGGATCACTTTTCCTGGGGAGTTCACAACCGGTAATTGCAATTGTGTGAACATTCAGAAAACCACCCTCCAGGCTCCTCAGGTGTAAAGTTCTCAGTCTGCCCCCCAACATGATCGCCCTCCTTTCCTGCTTTCCTGGACAGTTGCCATGACGTTTCTTCCTAGTCACTATTTCAAGGCCGCCTTAGTCATGTCCACACTCCCGTCGTTTGCCAGCAACTCAGGCTGGAGCCCTGGTAGCGTAGTGGTTAAGCGCTCAGGCCAAAAGTCAGCAGTACGAACCCAGTAGCTGCTCCTTGGAAACCCTATGGGGCAGTGCTACTCTGTCCTACAGCGTCGCTATGAGTGGGAATCAACTCAATGGCAACGGGTTTCAGGTTGGAAATATTCTTCAGTTTAACCAGACCACACACTCAGCCACACTTAACCAGGCATCTCGCCCTGATTCTCCTTCCAAGGACCGCGGATCATCACTGTGGGCCATTAATAACACAGTGGCTTGCCGACTCAGTCGCCTCGTTTTCCACCTTCCAGGGTCAGTTTTCCACCATAGGCCTCATTCTTTATCTGTAAAATGGGAGTAATTAGCTTCTTAACAATTTTATTGAGAGGGTTAATGAAATAACATGTACAGGGCGCTCAGCCTGCCTGGCCCAGGGTAAGCACTCGGGTGTAGCCATCAGCTATGGTTATAATGTGTGACCGATTTTAAGACTCATTACAAAGACCGTGCAAGCTGGGGAGTAACTGGCGCTTGCCCTTCCGCAGCAATCCACTGCTTCCCGTACGTGAAGAAGCGGATCCCTGTCATGTACCAGCACCACACCGACCTGAACCCCATCGAAGTAGCCATCGACGAGATGAGCAAGAAGGTGGCCGAGCTCCGGCAGCTGTGCGCCTCAGCTGAGGTGGACATGATCAAGCTGCAGCTTAAGCTCCAAGGCAGCGTGAGCGTTCAGGTGAGCATCAGCACCCTCGGGCAAGAGGCAGACGCAGGGCAGTAGAGGGGGAGGCTCCTGTGCACCCTGGCAAATTTCAAGACATTCAGACCAGTGAGGCCTAGTTTAGGCCGATCCCTAGGTTTCACCAGGTGGTCCCCAGTTCACCTTCCCCCAGTGTCTTGACGGTTAAATCAGAGGGAGAGTGGGCCAAGGGGACCCCACGCAGCCTCACCCATAAGATCTGTCATTCTCGCTAAGCTGTCTGCTAGACACAAGACACATACTAATCTGATTTTTCAGTAATTTAAGGAAGTCTAGGTCGCTATGAGTCAGAATCGACTTGATGGCAATGGGTTTTTTTTGTTTTTGTTTTTAGGTCCCTAATTGGAGCCCTGGTGGCACAGTGGTTAAGCACTCAGCTGCTGGCTAAAAGGTCAGCAGTTCAAACCCACCAGCCGCTCCGTGGGAGAAGGACGTGGCAGTCTGCTCCTGTAAAGATGACAGCCTTGGAGACCCTCTGGGGCAGTTCTACTCTGTCCTGTAGGGTCGCTAGGAGTCAGAACTGACTCCACGGCAATGGGTATAGGTCCCTAATTGGAAGCATTGAGACTCTTCTAAGTATGTAGTATGGCTAGCAATAGATTGTCTTATAACACTATTGTTTTCTGGTTTCTGTGAAAACTGTATCTGAAAAAGTACCCTAAGTTTCACTCTCTTCATAGTATCTTTTGATTAAATTCTTCATTTAAAATGGCCCAGTTAATCAGTGTGTCCTTTACGGGGAGCACTTTGTGTGTCCTCTTGAGAAATCTGTCCCCCTTCTGAGGTCTCAAAGATGATCGCCCAAGTTTTCCTCCTTTGTTGAGCACTGACATTGAGATCTACAATCCATCCGGAATTGATTTTTGTGTACAGTGTCAGAAAGGGTTCAAGATACATTTTTCTCTAATTAACGTTCACCATTTACTGACAAGATCATCCTTGATCTAGGTCCACATTACACAAATGTGTTCAGTTTGTGAAAAATCATCAAGGTGTACCCTTATGGTACATCCACTTTTCTGTCTGTAGATTATATACTTCAATAACAGGTTTTTAGAAAGGTATCATATGGTAAAATGAAATCCTTGACGATTTCATTTCAGTCTTTTCTCCATTTATCATGATGTTGCTTATTGGTCCAGTTGCGAGGATTGTTTTCTTTCTGTGGAGGTGTAATCCAGACACTGTAGTGTAGCACGAATTTCAGTAGCCTAAACACCTCAGTACTAAGAGTCCTTGATGTCCAGTTGGGAAGACTTGGGCTCTGATCCCACGTGTTTTTGCTGATTAGCTGTTTGACCTTGAGCAGATCCTTAACTTTTCCAAGCACTTACTTCCTGTTATATAAAACAAACCCTCATTAAGTGCCCTGTCTCTATCACAGGGTGGTATGATGAATAGCAAATGACATACAATAATGTGAGGTTTATTCAGTGTTTCCTCTTGGGTATGTCACTCGAGAGCAGGAGTCAGACTAAGTCACATGAACAGCATCTTTTGCACATGAAAAAAGATGATGGTAATTTTCTTCATAACATGAATTCTTGCTTCTTTGCCTAGGTCAATGCTGGTCCACTGGCATATGCCCGAGCTTTCTTAGATGACACAAACACAAAAAGATATCCTGACAATAAAGTGAAGTTGCTTAAGGAAGTGTTCAGGTAAAGCACACTGAAAATGTCTTTTCTCTTCAAGTATTGATAATTGCTATGATCATTCAGAAAAGAGACACTACCAGATGGACTCATTGTTGGTTCTCAATATGCCTTATCTCAGGCAATTTGTGGAAGCTTGTGGTCAAGCCTTAGCAGTAAATGAACGTCTGATTAAAGAAGACCAATTAGAGTATCAGGAAGAAATGAAGGCCAACTACAGGGAAATGGCAAAAGAGCTTTCTGAAATTATGCACGAGCAGGTAAGCGCCCCACTGGCTCTAGCAACTTGGAGCTCTTCTCCTTTAGGGGACGTGCATTAAGTTGGGGTCTCCAGTGCACGCTGTGACGATCTAAACCTTTCCACGTCCAGAACTTTGGCTTTTGAAACGTGGTACGGCATACCATTCATGCTATTCTCTAGCCCAGGGTATCTGGGAAATAGGTAACGAATTGCCCATCGGTCATGATCTAGAGTAACTGGAAGGCAGTGTCCAGCTTAGCTTAAGGAATTTCTGTTCCATTAAAAAAAAATAGGGTCATTCAATTCCTGGCTATTCGCAGCTGATCTGTTGTGGCTGCTGCTTCTAAATTCCTTGTCATTATGAGCATCTTTCATGACTGCATTGCTGTTATCTGGTTCCCTTGTTAATTCCTTTCAGCAGGATTCCATATGTAGGCTCACTAGTCATGGGGTGGTGGGTACAGAGTATAAAGCGAATGTCAACGAGCAGCATGCACATTATTGCTTTTTGAGGTGCCCATTCCCCATAACTCATCAGCCCTATAGGGTTGCTATGAGTCGGAATCAACTTGACAGCAAAGAGTTTGGTTTTTTTGGTTTATTCCCCATAAACTACAGTCTGCCTTTTTCCAAGCCTCTGTGCCAGATTTTATCATTAATGTTAGCACCTTGATAACACATAACTTGCTCTTTTATATTCCCTACATTATTTTTTAGTTTTGCAAAAAAGGAAACCAGAACCATTTGGGTCATATGATTTAGTTAGGAAATTTCTATTGCAGGAAACTAACTTAAATGTTTGAACTTTAACTCACTTGCTCTTTTTCTCTTCCATGCTACCATGTTCAGATGGGATGGTAATGTCATTTTCAATTTTATTTTTCTGAGCTTTAATCAGATAAGTCATACCAAGTCATTGCTGAGGCTTAGTGACTGGCATGATAGCAGTGCATATGCCAAGGAATGCCATCCTCTTCTAGACATTGAGGAAACTAGAAAAGTCTTTGAGATGTTTAGAGAAACTCTGTCTCCCCCATGAGACCTCCAGATGCCTGTAGAACAGACAGCTTGATGAGTAGGTGCCAGCCCTGGGCACTAGAAAAGATGGAGCCAGGAACAAAACACTGTGGGCCGACAATATTAAACTCTCAGATTGTATGGGCATTTAATACAGTGTGCGGTGCTCTGCTGAACTTCTCATTATCTCAACAACCATGAGGACTGAACTCCTTTCAACCATTAAGCAAAAAGGTTTGGGACCTGGGGTAAACTTGCTTTTGGTGTTTCCAAGGAGAGCCTTTGAGTGTGTATATTCTTCTGAGTTTCTGTCTGGCCAGGGGTCACTGGGTGTGAGAAGATGCTCGTTCAGTAGTCAGAGTTCAGGGTCAGAGTGGCAGCCTCGGTATCTTTCCCAGGCTGGAAATCTGTAAAATCCTGAGTGGTGCAGTGATTAAGAGCTTGGCTACTAACCAAAAAGGTCAGCAGTTTGAGTCCACTGGCCGCTGCTTGGAAACCCTATGGGGCCGTTCTACTCTACCCTGTAGGGTGGCTATAAGTCAGAATTGACTTGATGGCAGTGGGTTTGCTTTTTTTGTTTGTTCCTTTTAGAGAAACACAGGTGCTCCAAATTCATTTTAAAAGACTTACCAAGGCATGAGGCTAAGTCCTGTCCAAATCAAGTACATGTAAGCTAGGTCTCTCTCATACCTCAATTCCAGTGAACCTAAAAGGCTCTCCACTTACTTAGAAAGGAAGCAAAGCATGTTGTACTTATCACCCTGATCTGAAAATGGTCATTTACCAGGTGAGCTGCCAACAGCCTGTCTCTGTAGGCCACCCAAGCAGCGCTGTGCGAGCCATCTTAGGTTAATAAGCTGTGTGTGTTACGTTAACCACACTGTTGTGAGAACTGTTGTTTCTGTGTCTCGAGATCTGCCCCCTGGAGGAGAAGTCAAGCGTCCTACCGAATTCACTTCACATCTTCAATGCCATCAGCGGGACCCCAACAAGCACAGTGGTTCATGGGATGACCAGTTCTTCTTCAGTGGTGTGACCGCGCCTCATGGCCTGGGGGTGTGGACTCACCGGATCATTTGCAAACTCAGGATGATTTCCAAAGCCAGTCACTGGGCTCGTGCAAGACACGAGGGCTGAGCATGGGGGAGAGAAAGATAAGGAACTGTGTTATTTCATAGCCGATTTTCTATAGACGTAAAAAGAGGGTGCACGTATTTTTTTAAAATCTCGCTGGCAATATTCAGTTTTCATTGTGTCTTACGGAGATGGAGTAGGGAGTAAAATGTTCCTCTTCCTTACAGAGCACAGAGCAGTAGTAAAAGAACCGGCCTACAGAAAACACCCGTTCGGGAATGTCCATAGCAGTGACGGGAGCACTGAAATCGAGGCTAAGCTGGAAAATCTTGAAATATTTTTTTTTTCCTGTGGCACATTCAGGTTGAATACGAGAACTATTTTTGTGACTAGTTTTTGATGACTAAGGGAATTGACCAATGTAATTTTTGTACCAGTGAACCAGGAGGTTTAGTGCTTTTATACTTGTTTACATGCATTTAAAAACGGAAGGCTTAGAAGCTATGAGCTTAAAACTGGTCACGCGGTTTAGAACCAAAGCCTGTATTAGTAAACATAACCATGCTAAAGATGCGAAGGCAGTAAATTGTTATGTACATATCATTTGTTAATACCATCCCGGCATTCCGTACATACATGAATTACATTTATATACGTTTGTAATACTCACATCAGCTTCTGCGTTGAGTGTGCAACCAATTCGTGGTGTTCTCAGTATATGCAAAATACATTTGACTTTACTGTTTTATTCTTGTACATAAATAAGTGCAATATGGAGGTGTATACAGTCTTTGCTATGTTAGGTTTATAAACTGTTTTAAAAATGTCATCCTTTTGCCAAAGTGATAGAGTCTGTAATGGTGAATCGTAGGTCCTGTGGTGAATGGTGGTATAATTTAAAGCTTTCACCATGTTATATTTTCTTTGAAGACATTAATTTAGTAATTTTATATTTGGGGAAATAAAGGTTTTTAATTTTATTTAACTGGAATCACTGCCTGCTGTAATTAAACATTCTGTACCACATCTGTATTAAAAATAACATGGCTGATTTTTCGGTAGTGGATACTGGGTATTTATTGTTTGATAGTCCTAAAGGGGAGGAGGGCCACTAAAGTATTTGGGGATGAAATAACATGCAGTCTGTGATTTGCTTTGAAATACTCAGAAAGCGGGGATGGGTAGGTGAAACAAAACGTCGGTAATTGTTGAAGCTGAGGCTGGGTACATGAGGGATCATTCTACCAGTTTTTCTGCTTTTATGTATGTCTCTATGATACAGATTTCAAAAGGCAGGCCTGGGGTCAGCTCTTTTGGAGGACTTGGATAAATGTCCTACGGTACTGTGATCAACTCTGAATCGTCCCGGTTATTCCCAAGTCCACCCGGACACCTTTTTACCTCTGCCTTTCCCTCTGGGACAGTATCTCCATCGTCTGCCTTACTTGCTTTTGAGATGAACACTCTGGGTGAAGGTGGTCATTTCTTTCTCCTAGCAATGCCTACGCAGCCCCACAGCCTCATAAGCATCACAGCTGGGTCAGGTGAGGCTCAGGTACCAAGTGGTCCCAGCAGGTGAGTCAATTGTTCGATATCCATCCCCACACAGTTCCGGTGATGGAAGCACAAGGAGTCTCTACAAGAAACGAAACACCAAAATTTTCACCAATAACGTGCCCACCCGCATAAAACACTTATGGAAATACTGGGAGGAGGTGTAATGCATGTGTTATTTGCATAAAAATAGGGCAGCTGCTTTTCCTGCTAGAAGGGTTTCAAAGGCTGTCTTGTTGCATAACCACTTCAGGAAGGTGTGATGCTGTGAACATCTTGAGCACCCAGAAACAAAGGAGCCTGTCCGTCTTTGAAACACCTTCTCTCCATCCACGATCAGGCTGTACTTTACAGATGGAGAAGAGTCTTGGCGATGGGTCAGGGTGACTCACCAGCTGTGCCGGCCCAGCTGCCGTCCATGTAGACTTGGAGCTTAAGAAGATTCTCTGTGTGGGCTTACCATGAGTCTCTGACCCCCCAGCCCCGTGTAATAAACCGTAACTGTAACACCAGCAGGGGTGGGAATAAGAGTTTGTCTCCTGTGTCACTAAGCTGGATTTCCTAGTCCTAAATGCCTCATAGGAGCCCTGGTGGCGTGGTGGTTAAAGCTCTCGGCCACTAACCGAAAGATCAGCGGTTGGAGCCCACCAGCTGCTCCTCGGGAGAAAGATGTGGCAGTCTTGCTTCCATAAAGATTATAGCTTTGGAAACCATATGGGTCTGTTCTACTGTGTCCTATAGGGTCACTATGAGTCAGAATTGACTCGACGGCAATGGGTAAATGCCTCATGGAGAAGCCGTTACATACATCATCACGCAGAAAGATAAATATAAGTCTAGAAAGCTAACTTGGTATCTCACCACTGAACTTGGAGAGCAGTTGTACAGATGCCGTGTCAGATAAGCTGAAGTGTGGAAAGTGGCCGGTGCTCGTGTATTACTGGGCCATCTCTAAGATGAGGACATCTACTATTGACCCTGCATGGAAACAAATTTATATCATTTACAAACCATTGAATTTAGGTATAAATTTTTAATTTCTATATAAAGTAACACAATCGGCAGTTTCTGGAGGAAAACTTATGTTGAACTAGCTTTGGAACTAAAACTCCTGTTAGTACCTTATAAAGGGCTATTACCTACCCGGAAATTAATTAAGTCTAGATCTTGTAGTTGCTATTAGCTGCTGTCGAGTTGGCTCTGACTCCTGGCGACCTTATGTATAACAGAATGAAATGTTGTTCAGTCCCGCACCATCTTCATGATTAAAAAAAAAAAACAAGCCCTGGAAACCCTATGTCTGGGCAGTAAGCAGACTGAGGTGGTACCTTGCACTGGACAAAGCGTCCGAGTAAGAGGGGAGCAAAATGGGAAGATAACTTACAAATGAGGGAAAATAAAAAATCAGAGGGACCTGTTTAACCGTTAACACAATTACTCAGTGGAGAAAATCCGAATGTTTGTTTTCTTCATCAGCGTCACACTGCTTGCAGGCTGGCGTTCTCTTTTGGCTCCCGATACATCTAAGAATGCGCAAAAAACATGACTGTGATTAGTTGATGCCCCCAGAAAAACAAAAGGATCCGCTCCAAGAAACCTCTGGGGAAGCGGGCACACAGCTATCCCAAGCACCGTCTCTAGTCATGAGCAGGTTAATTTCATTCAAAGAACATTTGATTTCCACCAGTAGGGGATGGTTTGGATCAACTGTGATACAGCCACATGGTGCTGAACTGTGTAGCTCTAACAATGGACCAGGATAACTGCATTCTGCTACAGAGCGAGGCCAGAAAAGTGGCACGTGGTTTTCAAGTGCTGAAAGGAACAGTCAGCCGAGAATTCTATACCCACTGAAAATATCCCTGAAGAGTGAAGGGGAAACTGAGACATTCTCAAAATAAGGAAGGCTAAGAGAATTTGTCACCAGAAGACCTATCCCAAAAGGATGGCTAAAAGAAGTTCTCTATAAAGCAAATAGTAAAAGGAGGCGGCATCTTAGAACATCAAGAAGGAAGAACACGGTACGCAAAACTACGGGTAAACAGGCTTCTCTTCTCCTCTTGAGTTTTCTGTATTATGTTTGACAGTTGAAGCAAAATTATAACGTTGATGTGATTCTACACGTACACAGAGGACACACGTAAGACAATTATATTTTAAACGGGAAGGTAAAGGGATGCAAAGTGAGGTAAAGCTTCTACGCCACACTCAAACTCATGAGATGATGACCTCAGTAGATGGCGACAAGATATATATGTATATATATATGTATGTATATATGTTTGTGTATGTATATGTCTATATATATATATAATGTAATAACTAGAGAAACCATTTTTAAAGCTGTACAGAGATACACTCAAAAAGAACTAGATAATCAAAATGGAATTTTAAAAAATGTTCAGGTGACCCACAGACAGAAAAAGGAAAACTAAAAAACCAGAGAGAATGACAGAAAACAAAATAAACTGGCAGACGCAAACCCTAACATATCGATAATTACATCAAATATAAATGATCTAAATATACCAATTTAAAAAAAAAAACAGATTGACAGAATGGATTATGCTGTCTATAAGAAACTCATTTAAGATATAACAATATGGGCAGGTTGAAAGTAAATGGATAGTAAAAGATCATCATGCAAACGTTAATCAAAGGAAAGCAGCAATGACTATACTACTGTAAGATAAAGTAGACTTCGAAGTAAATCACCAGGGACAGAGAGGGACATTACATTACGATAACAGGGTCAATCCACCAAAAAGACATAACCATCCTAAATGTATATACACCAAACATCATAGCTGCAAAAAGATATGAACCAAAAACTGATAGAACTGAAAGGAGAAATAGACAAATCCACTATTATAGTTGGAGACGTCAACATCCCTCTCTTTACAATTGTTAGAACAACTAAACAGAAAATCAGTAGGGATATGTAAGAACTCAACACCATCTACCAACATTGCAGAATATACATTCATTTCAAGTGGCCCGCAGAACATACACCAAGACAGACCATGTCCTGGATCACAAAAGATGCCTCAACAATCGAAGAGAATTGAAATTGCGCAGTGTGTTCTCCAACCACAATGGAATCAAACTAGAAATCAGTAACACAAAGATAACAGGAAAAATCTCCAAACACTTGTAAACCAAACACACTTCTAAATGATCCATGAGTCAAAAGGGAGTCTCAAGAGTAATCAAAAAACACTGAACTGAATTAAAATGAAAACAGCAATTCAAAATTTGTAGAAAACAGCTAAAACAGTGCTGAGAGGGAAGTTTATAGAACTAAATGCATACATTAGGAAAGAAAAAGTTTCACATAAAAAATGTAAGCTCCCACTTCAAGAACCTAGAAAAAGAAGGGCAAAATAAACCCAAAGCAAGCAGAAAGAAGGAAATAATAATCGTAAGAGCAGACATCAGTGATATTTAAAACAAAAACATAGAAAATAAATGAAAAAAACAGTTTTTTTTTTAAAAGAGCCATAAAATTGACAAGCTATCAGCAAGACGACAAAAAGAAGAGACACATTACCAATATCAGGAATGAAATGGGTGTCAAAAACCCAAGTGTGCAGAAAAATCACTAAGAATTAGTGTAACAGAACATATTTATTGTGGGTAGATAGGATTCAAATCCAGCAGCATCAACCTGAACATATCAGGAAGGCACTCCGAAGAGGGGACAGTGAAAGTGGGTAACATAGGTCATTGTCATGTTAATTTCTCAGGAGATAGCATCAAAGCACAGTGCAGGGTTTCAGGGTCTGTGGGTTACAGAAACAGTCACCAAGGTCACCTCATACATCCAGAAGCACAGCCTCTAGTCAGACCCTGGAGTTCCTGCTTCTCAAAGCTGGCTGCACATAGATAATTTTCCAAAAAAACCCAATGCCTAAGGCAAAATAGTCTCAGCTAAGCTGCTTACTAGGCTGTGGTTTGACTTGAAGGTGGCTTTAGGGAACCAGTTCCTCAGAGACTCTTGATATGTCCTTCAAAAGGACACCTAAGGGCGAATGGCCTGGGTGGGTCACCCCAATTGCATGAACCCAGAAATCTGGATTCCAGGAGAATTAAAATGTTTTTGTCACAGGGTATCACTACAAACCCTGCAGACATCAAGAAGATAATAAGGGAATACGGCAAACAACTCTAAATGCATGAATTTGACAACTTAGACTGGACCAATTCCTTCAAATTTAAACCACCACAACTCACCTAATGTGAAATACATAATTTGAATAGCCCTATAACTATTAAGGAGCCCTGGTGGTGCAGTGTTAAGAGCTGGGCTGTTAACAAAAAGGTTGGCAGTTCTACTATGTCCTATAGGGTCACTATGAGTCAGAATCAGCTCGACGGCAACGAGTTTGTTTGTTTGTTTGTTTTTTGGTTTATAACTATTAAGGAAAATTAATTCATAATTTTAAAACTCCAAAAGAAAAATCACTGAGTTGCAACCTTAAAAATGTTTAAAATGGCAAACTTTGTTATATATATTTTACCACAATAATAATAATAAAACT